CTCTTTATATATATATATATATATATATATATATATATATATATACGACTAACCGTTCTGTCTTCCCTCGGTTAATCGGATATTCGGAATGCAGGGTGGTAGAATATTAAAATTCAAGCTATGCGGATATCAGATGAACAGTAAATCAGGCTAAATACTTGGGCATTAATAGTTGTAATTTCGAAGACGCTTTGTAAAGGAACCAATCGACAGCCCAGTCTATTCCCTCTTTTTTCCAAACCTAAGATCCGTCAAATTTACTGCCACTATTGTCCACTAAGTCTATCTCCGGACTTTGTCCCTGACTGCCTGCGACTTAGGAGGATATTGTTAGCTCAGGCGGTTGGTTTGTTCGATGGGCTCGGCAATCCGGTCGCAGACGCTTCAGCACCAGTTGAGCTGACATCACCAGTGTGTCATGCGTGGAAGTGCATGGTTGTTGCGCATATATGGATCTGTGCTCCGGTCTGACCTAAATGAGTAAATCCTATATCAATTCGTGTGTTCGGAGAAACGGCGCATTTCCACTCACAGCACACTGATGACGTCACCTCGACTTGAGACCAGATTAACCAGCTCGGCCGGAAAATCATAGGCATGTGCCTCAAACACCAAAGCGAGAAGCGCCTCAAAAGAAACAGCGAGTACTTTGGGTCTAAAAAACTGCGTGTTAAGGCAGATGACGAAGAAGCGGAAAGAATAACGATTTTCTCATTGAAGAAGTGACACATACCAACAGTTACTAAAATGTCTAACAAACTATTCACGTTGGCCTTTTTTCCTATAGCTTCCCAAAGCAATCAGCGATGCTGACCCACACAGCTCCTACCACATGCCGGTGAGCTTCATGGTACCTTCCACAAATATTCTTATCCTTCCAATTCGGTTAACTCCAAGAGATTTTTTCTGTTACCTAGAGCGAAGGCAAACCTTAACGATCGGACAGTGTGTTTTGAGGACCCAATGCAGGTGGATGGATGAAGAAGCCTTGAGGGGATTGCGGTGTTGCAAAATATGGACAGCCAGTACATTTTACATGGTTGTTGGCCTGCTTACCAGAATTAGGCTGATTCTTTCAACGCCGGACGTGGGAAGTGCATCCACCAGTGCATGTCGGTCGGATTTTCCCTCATTATGATCAAACAGGCTGAAGTTCCGTCCCATAAAGATAGGTTTATCGGATATATTAGGGCCGATTCCTTTAAGATCCCCATGCAATTTCAATCTAGCAATCTAGTATCCAAAATCTAGGAGATTTGATGATGTGGACGGAGGAATTCCAGATCCAAAAGGTTCATCACCGAGAACTGAACAAACATCATTCAGGTCAGGTACTGCTGTTTCTTACGTCTTCTCCGTCTTTTCCAATGGGTATTCATTCCAGTATATAGCTCACCTTGCTGACTTTCGAGTAAATAGCTAGATAGTTTGTATTTGCTTCTTTTAGATAACCCGGATTTAAGGTAGTAAGGAAGTGGAACGCCGGGACTTTAATGGGTCCTAACCTTCATCGTGGGGTCGATTTCGCCGGTTCAAGTAAAACATAAGGTTGAAGGAAACTCGGGAACTGCGCCTACCTGATGAGCCCCAAGAAGTGCGAAATCGATGATGGGCTGTCGAAAAGTTTTCAGCAGCCTTGTGAGTAGTTTCCTTCATGAAACAGCCGGAACATGCTTTTGAAACTGATGGAAACCCCAAATATGGGAATTAACCATTTACACAGTGAGTCGGATAACAGGGGTTGTGACATGAGAAACCTTGTGGTGTTCAGTGAATCCGCTTGGTTCCAAATAGTCGTCAGCATTAGGCGAGTAACTATTATGGTGGGATTCATGCCAGGCTGATCGTCAAGCCAACCTGTGTGGAAGTAGAAACGGCGCAAGGTTTTGCCTACTCGTGAGTAGATTGATTTTTCAACAAACCCACTGTTGCTTGTGGGGGCCTTTTTAATTTCGAAAAATCATTCATACAACATTTGATTACCCTCAGTAGGACATCTATCTTGAGTCAGTGTACTGAAGGGGCAATCATCCACCTTGCACAGAAACGAATTTCCTTGCCCGGAGACAACATTTGAAGGGAGCAAACAGAACTGATTAGAATCAAGGATTTGAATCGCGTTTTGGGGCGACTAAACCACTGAAACAAGCTACTCGTAACTAACCTAATCACAGGAATCTCCTAAATGGGTGGGTATATTTGAAATAAGACACTTTGCTAGTTTCTTTTTATTTCGGTCGCGAAAATGAGATTGTTTTAGTAGAACTGATAAATGGGAAGTGAACCATTACCGGTAAAATCTTGACTCGCAAACGGCTTCTCATGGTTTGTACCGATAATGGGATTACTTATAGGAAGGAAAAAGTATATGGTATTCTAGGATATGGCTGTTTTGATCTCCTGTAAATGGATATAAACGTAACTTTATTCTGGGAAAGGAGTTTACCACATTGGGATTGCTTTAGTTACACACGCTCTTTGAGCTGCCACAGTGCTCAAGGCACAACGATACGTGGACAGTTAGTGTCCAGCCTCCCATGAGGCATTCTCTTCGGGTTGGCACCCGGTGGGTTGCAGCTGGCTATGAACGTTGTTTTACACATTTTTGATGATTTTTCTCTTTTCAGAAAGACCGGAGTTCATGTTTCTATAATACGTGTCAGGCAGACTCTGTTAGATTGGACTTCAATGGCAGAAATCATACTGTTTTTACGCCACTTTAATACAGCCATTCGTCTATTCAATATCGGTGGGTGCACATGCAGCGCATACCGGAACACAAATCTGCGAAATGGACAGGTAACGAAGAAACTGAGGACTTTTCACGCGTGTTCCACATAAAGCCCAGCAAGGGTTGTTTGGAGCCAAAGGGCGTGACCAAGTTCCAGCTCGTCAGTGCACCAGTTGAGGTGATTTATTCCAAAATTTTGATTCCTTTCCAATTTGTTTCTATGCAGTAAATTTAGCCTGTTTCATCTGAGAAAGTGCCCGAAGAAGAGACTTCTGATGTTTGTTGCTTTTGTAAGCTTAAGTTTGTGGCACAGACCAAAGGCAGTCGTGTGATCTCTCCTTCTACGGACTAGTGGTCCGGATTCACCGAGTTAGAAGAGAGGCAATGTCATCCTGACAGACACTCTCTGAATAAATTATCGTTGTAGGATTTCAGGTACTACGTCGCATCACAACGATATTTCTGTCGAGTTGCGATTAAACGGATAGACGTCCAATCAGAAGCGGGACACACGCAAATGAGGGGAAAATTGGCACTTCATAGGAGGGGTAATACTTAAGAACGTTTGGAGCGCGTGCGAATAACGGAAGACGCGGGCTTCAGTAGGATGTATTCATTTAACGATTGAACACGAACCATCAGTTCGTCTGGGGTCAGAGCAGAAATTGGCTTTGATCGAAACACTCTTGTCTACTTGATTCAGGATTGTGCAGATGAATGTTGGCTGACTCGTGAATGGAATACCGCATCGTCCTTACCGCTTTATCCAAGTTTATCAAATTCCTATCCAAACGTATCATAGCCCTTCTTGCGTCGCTCCTTAGATTGCTCGATTCATCAGAGTTTTCTTGCATATTTCACACGTTTGCAATAAAGTATAGATGCGAAACGTTCGCCAAACTTTACAGCAAATGAATTTTTCCCTATCAGTGACCAAAGTACTTCCGAATAGACGATGTACGTATTTGCGCCTTAACACGCCCATTTGCGCCATCGACATATTAAGCAACGAAGTAGGCATCTGTTATCATCCACCGCTATATGTTCCCTTCACCGAGCAGAGCATTCTTTTTGACATTCCTCTCCTTAGGTTATAACCACCAGTCCATCTATCTAATAGTCATTTGCTCCATCCATGCTTAAAAATTATGTGACCCATATCAGCCTTTCCTGCATATGAATCTCATTTAGGCAATGAAGTTGCTCCACAATCCTGCTTTCCAGGTACCTAGCAGAGATAAGTTTTCAAACTAGCTAAGTTGTTTTTACTTCCATCTTGACTATTATCTTCTGAGACAGGAGTAGCCAGTTCCAGAAGTGCCTCGGATACGAATTGCATAGGTAAGGCAGTCGGCTGCTAGATGTGAACACGTCAGAATCCATTGTCGACTCCTAAGTGGCAAACTCTCTACACCATATGGACACCAAACTACTCCATGTCGCTCATTGAGGTACTCAGCCGGATTTTTAGTTGTCCTTCTGGTTGACAGTGCCACACATGACATGGTATAGGGGACAAGGTTTTTTAGGGACTTCGGTATTGTTCCTGCGCAACAGAGGCCCACGCCATGGCGGACGATGTCGTGTCACGAATTGATCTAGGCGTGGTAAGTCACAGCAAAGTTGGATGGCGCACTGAAAGTAGTTCATAAATTATCCCAGGCATTTCTACTCCAAAATCCTTTTTGCTCAAGCTGCGGGAGTGACGACTCACATGTTCCTCTTAACTTATACAATGCTGTTATTGATCAGCTCTTGTCGAAAGCATGTCACTCCAGCGGCCATAATAATAAGTCAAGAGGACGACAGATATGAATTGGAAACTTGAAAGTCGCCATTTAAGACGAATTCCCTGAAACTTGTGGTCTAAAACAGGGATCCCGAACGAACCAGTCAGATTCTGACCGATAGGATTGTGAACAGCTATTCAGGTTACAGCTCAGGTCTGCAAGAAAAGAGGAAATAGTCACTTAAATAAACGCTGAACGGTAATGAAAAATATGCAAATCCACTGCCAAGCTCGACGAACAGGTCAAAGAACTAATATATATGAAGAACTGATCGTCAACAGTGTTAGACCTATCGAACACCAGCAACTAGTGGGAAGTCACTTACGGTTTCCACGGAACCGAATATGATGATGTGCACAAGTAATTAATCGGCGGACGAACGTATACAGGCCTGTCGTAAGCCATCAGCCAACCTAAAGTTGATAGCATAACAATGCGTACCATCTACCTCGTGGGTTTAAATGATCGGTTGCAAACTAGAGTGATGTTAAAGTGCAACACCTAAGAGACCTAAATAAATCTCTCTTACTTCATCATTACTCAGTTGAATGTATTACGCAACCATCCTCTGGTGTTCTACTGAGCCAGCTTTCAAGAAGTCGTTGTCGTATTTGTCAGAAGTCTTGGGGCAGGGGATTAGTCAATCGGTCTCACTTTTGTTTACTCCCTGATAAAACAACAGATTGGTGAATCAAGTGAAGCATTCCGAATGATACTCAAAGACGTTCCGCAGGTTCTTCAAGACACACAAGTGTCCTGTTTTAGTGATCTTCAACCAATCGAACTGGATCTCGCGGTTGAAGGAATTCCGGTCCCCGTTTCACTTGAACCCTGTATTATTGCTATTCCTGGCAGCACCGAACCTGGGTTACCTGTTCACAGGTGTTTGAAGGTAAGAATGCCAACTCTGGTAATAACTTGGGACCTGAAAATACACATGGTATCATTGATAGGCACTTTAAATAGGTGACTTATCTCAGTTTAGCATCTTGTGCACCAATATGCCAAATACCCATCCAAACTGAATGTGAAACTTTTAAGTGACTAAATACTTTTGTTTAAAATGGTACATACGGACTAAAAAGCGCGCATATGCCTTCAGTGTCTGGTATGCACAGAAAACTGGGTTGCATGTTTTCTTGTGGATTGGAATGTATACCTGGTTGTTTGATCTATTCTACTATATCACTGAAAGTCTTCTTTAATCCTGTCATGCCAGAAAGGGTTTACTCTTACAACACGATAATTAAAGGGTAGCAGGGTGTGATCGTCGTATGCTTGGATCGATTAATTTGAGGCTGTCATGTGATTTCGTGTTGTAGCGCCCTGCTGAACTTTTCCACGTGGTGTCGTATCCGGACACTTCACAGATAAGGAATAAAGCGAACTGTGTCCACTTGACCATCTGGATGATGATGGAATGAATAGACGTACTGATTAGCTCCGTACTTTAATAAAGCTTTTACCGTGTCCAATTTTGTCAATCTAAGATCTTAAGCTACTTTAGGTCTGTTCCATTAAAAGATGCTTCATCATTGAACCACTTTGGTGTACATGTAGGCAGCACACTCATCCACACTAGCTCAGTTAGACGGCGGTTCGAGCACTTGCACAGGACTTTGACTTCTACGCTCTACATGCTTGCTATTGAAGCCGCCCATACTTATATTCAAATCCGAGTCTATTTCATGCGACATTCAACAATAAAGAATGCCTAGGCGGTGGGACTAAATAGTAGAGACTAACCTGGGTTGGAAGGATTGGTCCGGAAAATCGGGTCACCATGCTGTGGTAGACTTCAAAGCCTTCTGATGTGACGCTTTTGCAGAACGCCTTCATTGATGAATCCGAATGAAACGAGTGGAAGAATATGCTTTAAAGTTCTCCATTTTTGCGCAGTTCAATTTAAAGTAGGTTTTGAACGTTACATGTGCAAGCGTCGAGGCATCACGCAGGAAAATTCCTACGTGAACATGCATGACTTGACATGTGAAAGGTACATAAAGATAATAGTCTCGGTAAAACGTGTGAGACCAATCTGTACCGCGAAAGCCACATGTTTCGTCCCGTCAGAATACGCAAATAAAGTGGACTGAAATGTTCTTCTAAACAAGGTTAGTAGAGGAACCGTCATTCGGTTGTAGCTGGTAAATTCTGACTTCACTGCTATATCTAACCTGTTTAATTTTCATCGTATAAGATATACAGACGTTCTCACTCCTCAGACAGTTTCCCGCCAACGGTTTATTCACAAGATGCATCTGGTCCCACCAAGTCCTCATGTCGTCCACTTTGTTGCCAAACACACGCATATTTTGCCACTTGAGCTATCCCTGTCAAAGTCACCTCGATTGTCTTCAGTGAAACCTGCGAGGGAGTTGTTGGTAAGCTCATAGTCTTTAAATCTGGCTGGAGAAGTCCATTAAACGGACTGCCGCAAGATCTCATCATCGCTTTTGTCAGTTGGAAACTGAACACAAAGAGCTAAGCAGTTGCTCGGGCCAGGTAAATTTTAGATAACAGTCCCACTACACATACGTACGCTAAAAAATGGATCCAATTAGAGTGGATTAGATTCCTGTCTTGGCTTTCTGGTGGACTGCCTCAAGGCTGCTGCATTGCAGCACCCCACGTTCATCAATCATTTTTGCGACCCTAGCTCCGTCTTAACCGTTTAGCGACTTTCACAGTATAACTTTGTTCGGTGTGCTTACTACATCCCTTTCAAGCTCGTCAACAAGTCAACAGACTGTCCAGTTCACTTCAACTGGGAACCGAATGAACCATTTGAACATGTCGCCGCCATCCCCACAAAACAACTGACTGGAGAAGATACCAAGTCCACCCCAGCCTCTCATGCATTAGTTGAGTTTGAACCACCCGCAGGGATTGTGCCACCTGGACAGGCGATTGATGTCAAACTGCGTATCACTTCCGAAGAAGCTGGCTTTTGTTGCAAGTCTTTTCCGTGTCAGATTGACAAACTACCCGGTTCACCATTATGGATCAGAGTTGAAGCAAACTTCGAGGTTAGCTTTTCAAAACCACCTTTAAATAATCTATGATGAATGCTCCATTGGCTCTCATTAGTCCAGAAGAAAAGATGCCTATAGTGGCCTAGTGTTTGATCTTTGCAAAAGTCTATATGACGTTCCGACTCAATTTATCATTTGAGGATAACAAAGTGTTCAAGGGGCAGTCAGTGAGGACCACCAACGCATGCCGTTTAACATTAAACATGTCTTTTACCAGCACGGAATGAAGACGGTAGATCCTGAAGCAGATGTAGCTACCCAGGTTTCAGCTTAAAGTTGATTGGGAATGTAACCCAATAAGAATGAAAGAATGCTTCCTGAAGGTCACGAAGAAATGTCAGACCAGGCTTCGGACTTGACCGGTCCAGGTTCGACGGTATGTATCGAAATGCCCGTCCAGTGGGAGCGTCCGATTATTTCAGGGGATAAGGCCCAAGGAAAGTAGTTCTTTTCTATTTTTTCTCTCAGCCACCTACTCTAACTGTATTGGGACTTCGTTCTCGCTATTGCCGGCACTATGTAGCAATAAGCGAAATTGCTTTGAACCGTTGGATTCAAAGCCAATGTTTTGGATGAAACAACAATGAGTAGAAGAAATGGTAATAGAATACGGACAGACTCGAAACCGTTACACTGAACTCCATAGTAAACTCCATAGTAAACTACATAGTAAAATGTTCCACCAAATAGGGTTTTGATATCAAAAATGTTGCTTCCTTTCAATACTTCACTGCGGTTGAACAAAGTGAACCCACAAATGCGAAGCGACATGTGCGATTCAAGTTCCAGATAACTCTGCGGGCAAGGCATGACTTACTGACCAGGTGATCAGTGGTTCGGAATCTTGAACGCTCCTGTCTATGCTTGGGTAGCCTGATATTATCTCAGCCATCATGCCTCCTTTCGGCTAGGCACCGAAAGATTGTGAGCTGCCCAAATTTTGTGGCTTCAGTATGGATTTGTTACGCAGAACTATGTTTTGGAAAACTGGGTAAAATTGATGTCATTCAAACTGAAATATCTTCTGAGTTGTCAAACGGATAGCACAGAGGTATCTCATTAGGTACAGTAAACCTTCAAAAACTCATTTTTCGTGACTGTTGCGGACTGTTTTTTTATATTTCGATCCACTGAGAGAACTATGCTCATAAACTTTCTTTGCCTGTTCCTGTCTGTGATTGCCAAACTAATATTCATGGTTATTTCTTAGTGTAACCTGAGGCGGTTTGTTGATGTTGATTGAGGTGTGTGTGTTTTACCATACCAACCAGAATGGAGCACTTATTGGCGGTAAGTTTCATTTCAACCTACTGAACAATTCTCGATTTATTTAATCTTATAGCATTCTCGCGATCTTAATGTCTTATAACAATTGATAAAGCCCAATCGATATTTCTGCCCGGTTTTTCCAGTGAAGCCATTATTATGGTCTGTCACCTAGAGAGATGCAGTTCCTATTGTTCTTCTGATGACTAACACCATTTAACCTCCCTACACTTGTTAAAGGTGGTTTAAACTTACTTCTACTGATTTGATTGCCCATATTTGTTGTTTTTTTCAAAGTTTCAAATCATATTTTATTGTTTCATGGACGACGACAGTTGTGGACATTTTGCTTACCTCAGACTTGCGCATTAGAGGCCCAAACCATCATGGACGTCGCCGTTAACTAAGTTAGTAGAGACAAGGGAAACTTTGTCACGGTTGCCTGATATTACAAATAAACACTGTGTTGACCCCCAAGACTTTAAGAAAAGGCTAAATAAAAAGTGTTTGAACACCTGAAGCCTGTAATGATTTTCAGTCCTAATGGGTCACCTTTCACCTATGTGGATTAGCACCCGCTCAACAGCTACACTATTTACAAAGGCAATGAATGTTGGCACTGATCAATAGCTTAAAAGTTTCTGGTGGCACTGGAAGTTTTCTGTGTTGTTTCTCCTTTAACCTGATAGCTCGACAGAATTGTAGCCCAAAAATATGCATAAGATATAAGTTCCTCGATTGAATGGGATTGGTCACCCTGCAATTGAATAAAAACGGTGGTGTTTGACAGTTTTCGATCCGAACGCCTCACTGAAGTGTCTTTATGTGAAAATTAGAACGCATACTTTCTGCAGTCGGCAGCACCTCACAAAAGTGGAAACAGTGAAAATAAATTGTCGAATGTTCCAGAGAAGCGCGTGAAAAAACGTGGTGTGTCTGAATACCCGGCTGATTCTTAGCAGTTTGTTATTCTATAGATTAGAGTGAACTATTCTTCTATGGAACGCCAGAAAACTGCAGTAGGATCACCTTCTATCATTCGACCATTTCCCTTGTAGCACTTTTTGTTTGACACCCTGTCACCTGCCATCAGTTGGATTGCAAATGATGCCCCAACCCTACGTTTGATGCCAGGTTGTTATTCTATACATATATACGACATGCTATTCCAGAGAAGTGTTGTATTCCCACCTTGTTCAATATACACACAGCACTTCACTTCACACTTTCCAATAAAACTGAAGTTTGTACCGCTAACAACAGTTGTTCTACAAATTGATCGAGTGATCGATGGGTCACCCTGAAAACGGACAATGATATGCCCTCTTTTATCCGAGTGAGATGTTACACAGGTTTAATTTAAACCAGGGTTATATACCAATAGGCTGGATTTTACGTTCGGGTGAGAGTGTCTGTTTCAGATGCGTGGCCTCAAGCAGGCTCGGACTATGTACAGTCGTAGTGACGTCGTCTTGTCTGTAAGACTAGGAAATACACTGGTGTTGTTCCCCTCCAAATATTTTTTCGAATTTTAATCAGCCTCTCACAGTGGGTTCAGCGCAGCATGTTATGGAACGAATGTGACCCTTATGTTTCTGAATAGTTCACTAAAATGATTAAGTGGTAAAGAGCCCTGCTGCTTAGTAGAATGTGTATTCAACAAAGATGAAGGTTGTTGAAAGTTACGCTGACTATGTAGCGAAAAGCATGTAGCTCCGGTGCTTCAGTGTTTTGTAAATCAGGTAGCCAAGCTTGGCAATTTACCTTCAGACATTTCATCACCAATAGTTAAAGCATCAGAAGTGCGCGGCTGGACGGGTACTTTCTTCCCAACTACTTGTGTTCTTATAGTTTACAAGAAAGTAGTTGATGTCTCCCAATGCGATTGGCTGGCTGGGGAACAGCTTAATTGTAGTTTCGTTGGTCCGTCTGTGAGTTGTGCCACTCTGCGGTCTGGATACGTTGTATAACTCTGTAATAGCTTATATCACCACATAGTACTCTGCAATTGATACCTCGTTTAATAATCTTTATCACTCTTCCAAAGAATTTGAAAAAATACTAGTATAGCTCAACATTTCACGCACACTCGTCTCTCCAAAAATTGTTCCATCCCATGTCACCCTCTCCTCTCAAAAGCATTTGGACACCTCATCTCTTACTAACTTAGGGTGGATATCCCACTGCCAGAGTTCTTATACATCTTACCTCAAACACTTTTGCGTTTATAAAGTAAAACAGATATGATTTCAGTTAGGGCTTCCTATAACCTCTCAAGCATAATTTTTGCCAGCTATCAGGTTTGGTGATAATAATTGTCTTATCGGATAAAGACCATGGAATTCCTCATCAAATTCTGCCCTATTTTTTCTAATTCGCAATGTCTGAACTCATTGTAGCAGAAGACTTTAGGGGTTGCATTCCTCAGATCAACTCATTCTCAAGGAACAAATGATCAATTTTTTAATACACAGTCAAAAAGTAATCGTTCAGCTGTAATGCCCCTTGGGTGCCGAGCTGACATGCCACCTGAATAAAAAAACAATGGTTAAAATACTGCAAGTTTTCCCAAACCTGGACAGCAACAGTCCAAATGCCGAGATTGGGTTATGCTGTACTCATGGTTGCACTTGCCCTTTATTATTGCTCATTATCATCAGAAAGATTGATAAATATAAAAGCTCTCATTGGGATAAGTTATAGGTCTGTGGGGAAATCGGCTGCGAAGTTTTAGACATTATTAAAAACATAAGAGTCCTTGGTTTGGTGTGCCTCTTTCTTTTTTACATTTCATCGCCTGTCTTTCAGTTATTATTGCCTTATTTCGACCATAAATACTGACAAAGCATCCAATAGAATATTGATGTATGGTATCATTCACTCAAAAAATTCCTTTTCTCTACTCTCATTCATTTAGGTTCCATCACTTTTGGTCGAAGATGTAGATTGTGACTTTGGTGTCCTTCGGGTTGACTCCACTGTAACTCGTTCTGTTACAATTACCAACCCTGGTTCACAAGCCAGACGCTGGAGTGTTGGAGTCGTCAATCAAGACAGCCTACCCGTAAGTCCGAATGTTTCGCTGCATTCGCTAATTAGTCTGATTGTTCCGTTTTTTGTTCTCAAAAATGCTACGGTGTTGTCAGCAACGAACAAGAAGCATCTTGGAATCACTCTGGGCCTATTCATTTTTGCATCGGTGTAGAACAAAAACTGCTGTGATTTCCGTCCTCTCAGTTTATCTTCTCTGTCTTATTTTGTAATTACCTTCTAACGAGCGACAAACAAAATTCTCGTGAGTTATAATTGACAGAAAAGTGTGGGCAGAGCTCTCCATGTTTTTTGTTCTGCCGTTTGGTTTTCGTGACTAAAGAGAGATCAACAATGTTCAGTCTTAGTCTTTTGAACGAAGCTCCAACTCGATCCGCGGTGTAACAGCCGAATTTTCAAAGGATTACTTCCGCCAAAGTCATCAGAAAGTCAGAAATCCTCCTTCAGGAGTTAAAATACAAGCTAACCTGATTGTTGATTCTGAAACACTGTATAATTGCGTGGAATGTGGTTTTGACCCAACTATGGGTTATTTTGCCGTTCGACTATACTTCACAACCATAGCCATGTTCAATTCGGTCATCAGTTAAGAGAGTTCAGGTATTGGAGGTTTGCAAGTCCGCCTGAAGCACTTAGGGCTTCTGTCAAAGACTGATTGCTGAGTAATGTCGGAGAACAGTGTAGAGCTGTAGGAAAATCAAACGCCTGTTCCCTACAATATCCGACAATGGGGTCATTTGCTTGCTTGTGCTAGAAATCTGGTTGGTTTACGTGGTTCATTTGTATTCTGGTTTCAAAACCGGCATTGTAGAATATCGGTTATTCGTCACGCGATCTTCTCTGGTCTCCGAAACTTTTCACGCTAAAGCCTAATAGTAAGATCATATGAACAGCTTTTTGTGTCCCGCTTAGTGAGACTCAGTTAGGCCGTTCAATAAACTGTTTTTCACGTGACTGATCCGAAAGCGTGAATAGTAAGCAAGCTGGAAGTTGCTGTTGATATTTCCGACCTACTAGAGCGTTTTGTTGTGTACCTTCATCCGGAAACCTTACCCTAAATTACCGATCGCCGAGTGTCCATTAACTACGACACTGTCACCAAAAAACACCATGTGGCTGATGGTTCCGATTGCGCTATTGACCAAAGTTTGGCATTTCATTTAAAGGCAACTTTATTGAGGGCACAATTGGCTGCTTATGTATAGGGGACACTTGAAGTTAAACAAATATTTGGCCTGGAGTCCTTCACCTACTTAGGGCATGCAACTTATATGCATTACAATTTTGAATCAAAACATTTTCCAAGGTTCCAGTTCAAGTAACCTAATCTCAGCTATTCTTTTGTTCACACCGATTTGTTGCTCACGCTTCCCTGTATCTGCCTTGAAACTTCTGCGCTCCACAGTTGAGGAAAGTGCAACATGTGTTACCATTCTACGCCATATGTCTTCTGTCTGTGCGAAAACGAATAGAACGGCGCCAGCGCTGTGAAAAGCTGTGTTTTATCGAAGGACTTTCGAACGCTTTTGCAACCCTGTACAGGCTAGAACTCTAGTCATGGGCCCACTAGTTATCTAGCGGTCGTAAAATTCTCCAAACCCAGCTCAGGCGGAAGTTCGGGGGTTGGGACAATAGGACAGTATTCACCTGGATTGGCCCCAAGAGTCCTTCTTGAGGTAAAGTTCAACTGTCTTTCGGCAGACCAATAATTTACAAACACCCTGATGGTTAAACCTGTAAGCAAAAGCAACAATGGCAATGTGTTGACACCAAAAAAAGGTCCAACTTGCTACTAAAATGCTATTGACAGTAGTCAATTCTCGTGCAGAATATTTTGCAACAAACTGAAACTGTCAGGTGGGAATTACCGAATGCAAACTGGAGAACAAATTAAAAAAGTGACCAAATACCAGACGATTCTATGAGTCAGCCTCTGGTGGTAGCGGTCTAACCCGATATATTACGTCACAACTCTATACTTTTTTACCTACCCGACACCTAATTGCAGTTAGTAGAGGAGAGGGATCGCAAATCTTCTCCATGTAATTCTAATCGATGTAAAAACTATTTTGTGCTAAAGATTTTCAAATATCTTCATGCTGCCAACAAACTAAGTAGTAGCCCACAAGGACAAACAATTCACCCGACGAGTGGAGCTTTCATCGGGGAAGTTGTCACTCAGAAAACCAGTAAGCGAATGATTACGTGATGTGAATTCCACGATTGAAAGATAAATAGCGATACATCCTCTTTCAGTTGAAACTAGTCACACTGCTGGTTAGCTGCTCGCGGCTGAACGAGTAAATGTTCCAAATATTGGCCAGGTGGGTGAGGTTCAAACCTCTCCAGAATTTACTGAGGTGCACTGATCCCCATGCATCCCAGTAAGTATGGCTGTATAGTGTTTCTCAGCTTATCATCTTATTTATAGGATAGAAGCCATGTTAAAAATTAGAAAATCTCTTCATACTACCAACATCCTAGTGTTGTTCGATGATGTTTCACTTCCGAACGCCTTCCTATAGAGTAAACAATCATAAGCATGGATATTTTTAAAATCTTTTGTGTCTTCTTTCTGTTTACCAATCGATGCGCGACCCCATGTGGGAAATATATGCTCCTGTTTTTTTTCAGTTGACACCCAGAAAACTCGAGTACAGCAATAGTTATTTTTTGTTTCCTCCTACTCACACCTTTTCTGCAAATCCCCATAAGGCTGTGGAAATTTATGTGGACCAGTCGGAAGGGACCATACAGCCATTCACCTCAGCATCTGTCCAGCTCCGCGCAAAGGCCACATGCGTTGGCATCTTTCGAGGGATTCTCCAGCTGCGCGCCATGAATGATCAAACAATGGTGTAAGTATCTGTTCTTGTGTCAATTAGGTACTCAAAATTAACCATATTTTTTACAGTGCTGTCCAATACAATATGAGACAGCAATGAAATCAACTAAATACTTTCTGCTCTACACTTATTTAGTTTTTATTGCGAGACTCAACTAAATTAAGCTGAATATCTCGTTCGTGCTGGTCACCTTCAACTGAGATATTCATCCGGAATAAGTTGAGCCTTGCGTCCAAAACAAAGTAATGTGTGTACGAGAGTAGCTTGCGGATTCCGTCTGATTTGAGTTCAAGCAGAAAAAAATTTGAAAGGAACTTGGAAACTGCTCCCATCTCATGTGGTCCGAGAAGGGAGAAACCGAGCGTCGGCAGTCGAAGGGTTTTCAGCAACCTTATGAGTATTGTGTTACCTTTAGAAAGGATTGTTTTTTTTCTATGAAGGAAACGGCAGTGTCACTGCATTGGTAGACGCTAGATTCGAAATTAGCCAACTGTGATGCCAGCATCTGTGTTGACGTGGCATTTTATTCACCGAGTCATGTACTCACACCTATCGACGGTTGAGCTGCCCGGAAACAGACTGAGCAATTTACTGCATCGCAGCCGTAACCGGCTGTTTACGCTATGTGCTAGCAATTATTATAGCTGCCTTATCATTGCTCCGACTATAGTCACGTTTAACATATCGCTTAGTAGTTTATAATAACAAAGTGCTCTAATCCGAGCATAAAATATGGACTGTGCGTGATCTAGCTGCGTTCGTATGTAACCGTTTACGTTCTGAAAAGAATCTGCCTGTCATTGTTACCCTACCGACTGTCCTCATCCTGGTCGCCATCCTCGTCCCCGTTGAGCATTTGTTGTTCAGTATTTCGCACCAGCCGAAGTCGGTGATGTGTTGGTCACATAATTCCATCACCACTACATTCTTGGGCTACTGTGTGCATACGGTATTTGAACAAGTAAGGCAGATTCGGATAAGAATTCGGCTGACATGCAAGACACATATGCGTTCTGACCCCCACTAAGCAATTTCGATTACTGCTTCAGTTCAAAACGTCTCATCAAAGGGAAGGAGATTTTGTTTTGACAAACAGTGTGCAACTAACTATACCAATCAACCATAACATGTCTTCTCGACTTCATTTAAATAAGCGGTCAATCGCCCTTAGGCATCCTTCTGGAGATTAACATGGTTCCAAATGTAACATAGGATTGAGGCGTTCTTGTCTTAACGATTCTAGTTTTCCCTTGTGGAGACTGTACTTAAGTCAAAACTGACAGAGGATAGCTCAACTTTCTGGATGTGAGGCGCTCAAACTGATAATTTGATTGGAATGTTTCTGTCTAGGAGTAACTTTAGCACCGGACTGGGCCTTCAGCATATACTTTCTTCTTGTCAAGCTCTATATGGTAGGTCCTGGTTTGGAAGTGAAAATTGAATTTTAGCTGGCTACACCAATGGCGGAAACACATTTGTGGGTAGAAAACTGATTGTTATCTTTCCTTACTTTATAACAGAGAAATCCCATTGTCTGCAGCAGTACAATCAACCCAATTAGATTTGCATCCAAACCACATTTCTGTCGACAAAATGTACTGCGGTGTTGCTCATTGGACGACCATAAAGCTGGTAAATCTAACGCGGTTAGAGACGAAGTTCGAATGGTTACCGGTGAGTCAAGCATCCATGAGGAGTGGATGTTAAATATAACTTGCACTGTCCCAGGTGAATTAGTTCATACAAGGCTGGAGGTAATTAACTAAGTTTATGCGATGAGTGTGATTCTACTCGTTTTGATGATTATTGTGATGCTGGTGATGACAATGCTGGAAGCCACTGAATATGAACGACCACATGTAGATTACTCGTAATTTTTCCAAATTTCTTCAAAGTGCAGTGTGTACGCTGGAATAACAATCGACAATATCTGCCTGTATTACGCTCATAAAACCATGTTACTGCTGTAATTCTCCGTTGTGTTCATCTACCTCTACTAAAACCATCCTGTCCGGCCTCGTCCTAGGCAAGGTGTAATTGATTGAATTTTCTGTTGACTACACATCCAACTTCGTTCCTGCGCCTTACAGCAAATACATATGTTGTTGACTGTCATCTTTAGGCCGAGGGTAAAGACGTGGACTGGATTTCGGAAACTGTGAATCCATCATCTGGAACAATAGATGGTCTTCAGTCAATGGACATCAAATTGACTTTTCTGGCTTCAAAACAAGTAGGTACAACACAAGAAGCTACATTAAACTCCTCTACTTAGCAGCTTTTGAGTAATTTTTCGCACTGACAATTCTGAAGCTATCATGTTGTCGAAAATATCGTTCCAGGGACAAGCCAACGATGCCAAATGTCAGTTCTTCACAACCAGTTTATTGCACATCGGTTTGTCCTATTTTTACCGCACACCGATTTAGTCAATGAGCAATATTGAATATTATCCCCTGCCTGAATAATACATCGTACAATCATGATACCTTGAACTACTTAGCAGTCACTCAAATAAACGTCGTCAGACGGTTGTTGGTCTGCGCACCCGGCTTAGCAGCTTGATTCTTCACCAAACGAGGTGACGTCTTCAATACTGGATAGAGTGGATCAACCTTGCACTCAACTCCGTACTGAAGACGTTACCTCGATTGATGTTGAAGATCTTAAAATCCAGTAGCCAAGTTCGTTAAACATACCAACAACCAAGCAACGTATCCAACCCAAATATTTCCGTAACAAGCGTCACCAAATTCAGAAGACTGATTAGTTTCGTTCCATGGTCTATTTTTCCTTAAAAATGGTAAAATAACTGAACCAAGACGGATATTGTGGATTCAGCCTAAAAAACTACATGGAGTTTTAGGACAATTAGCTAAAACGCTAAGCCCGTAGAAGAACGGAAAACCTGAAAATCAAAAAGCACCTGAAAAATAGTGCTCAGTGTGCCTCTGTTGCTTGCCAAATTTCAACTCAAAGTTCAGCACTTATCCGGCTTATCAGTATGCTCTCATGACATTCAATAAAGGTTTAGTAGACATTATGTAGAGTGCAGATTCCAAATGGTAGCTTGATTTCTCAAATTTTCTTCGTATTCCAACTATACGGCCTTGACCTCAATGAAATTCTATAAGCACTTTGTACTTACAAAACGCTGGCTGAGTTTCCTTCAGCATACTGTTTTTTTATTTTATAGGCTGTTATTTTATGGACTGTTTTATTCACCCTCCAGATCTGGTCATTCTAAGAAGGAAAAGAGTTAAGCTATTAAGAAATAAATAAAAGGAGTATACGGTGAGATGTTGTGACAGAGGACTCACGTCCAAGGCATCGTGTATGCAAGGAACCACCGGCAATAAATAGAATCAGAACATATATTGTCATGCGCACGCAGATTAATTTCAGATTTCTTGCAAGTGGGAGTGACCATTGAATCAGAAAGGTAAAACTAATCAGTGGTAGAGAGAGGGGTTGTTTATCGCATCAAAAATAGTTATTCTATCTTGCGCTGATTTTTTCATGCAGGAAGGCTAGACTGTCTCAGATCCGTATGTGTGTGGAGCTAAAGCACGTTTTCTTGTTGGCATCAAACAGTAACTCTTAAACAATGACCACAGAGCACAGACCATTCAGTACCTCGTTTGAAGAGGGTTTGCTGATCAGTTTGTTGTTGATCTGTTAGCCAAGCTTGACGACTCGCCTGCAAACGTCCCCTTACCAGTAGAGTGCGCGTCATCAGTAAGCATTTGGGCTGGCTTGGGGACTGAAATTCCACAAAGGAATGGTGCATACTTCATACTGTGTTGGTACAGGACAAACCCGTCTGAAGAGTGAATGAAACTTGTATAGATGATTTCCACCCGCCTTTATTGTTTTCGTCTACCTTATGTCTATCTTCACAGGGAAGTATTGAACAACTGATCATTCCATGCCGAGTGGACGGAATGTCCGGGGTTTTGGAATGCTCAGTTTTCGGAAGTGTCGACGGACTGGCAATCAACGTGAGACATGTGGACACGTGTGATATAAAGTGAGCTCTTCGTACATCTTCAGGTATTTTTTTGAAAAATAGATCGCTTGCCTCGGAGCATTTCATTCTACGATGAAAAATGTGAGAACACTTGGACCTACGTTAAGTTTAGCTTCGTCCAGTTTTTAAATCATCACAGTCTGCATAATAATAATAATAATAATAATAATAATAATAATAATTGCTGTAGAAACCACTGTACTTGTCGTACAGTGGTTGTAACTGCCACAGTTTCGTTCACCAATGATTCGGGGGGGGGATAGATAGCTGCCATTGAGGACGCCACTGGACTATGCCTGATAATGTCTCTAACAATTGATGTGGCCCGTCTCGGAGTTCCCATCCAGGAGGACGGCAGTGACCAGCGCAGCTCAGTTTGTCCCTTTCAAGTCATTGTTTGACACCCTCTGGATTGTNGATAGAGTGGATCAACCTTGCACTCAACTCCGTACTGAAGACGTTACCTCGATTGATGTTGAAGCTCTTAAAATCCAGTAGCCAAGTTCGTTAAACATACCAACAACCAAGCAACGTATCCAACCCAAATATTTCCGTAACAAGCGTCACCAAATTCAGAAGACTGATTAGTTTCGTTCCATGGTCTATTTTTCCTTAAAAATGGTAAAATAACTGAATCAAGACGGATATTGTGGATTCAGCCTAAAAAACTACATGGAGTTTTAGGACAATTAGCTAAAACGCTAAGCCCGTAGAAGAACGGAAAACCTGAAAATCAAAAAGCACCTGAAAAATAGTGCTCAGTGTGCCTCTGTTGCTTGCCAAATTTCAACTCAAAGTTCAGCACTTATCCGGCTTATCAGTATGCTCTCATGACATTCAATAAAGGTTTAGTAGACATTATGTAGAGTGCAGATTCCAAATGGTAGCTTGATTTCTCAAATTTTCTTCGTATTCCAACTATACGGCCTTGACCTCAATGAAATTCTATAAGCACTTTGTACTTACAAAACGCTGGCTGAGTTTCCTTCAGCATACTGTTTTTTTATTTTATAGGCTGTTATTTTATGGACTGTTTTATTCACCCTCCAGATCTGGTCATTCTAAGAAGGAAAAGAGTTAAGCTATTAAGAAATAAATAAAAGGAGTATACGGTGAGATGTTGTGACAGAGGACTCACGTCCAAGGCATCGTGTATGCAAGGAACCACCGGCAATAAATAGAATCAGAACATATATTGTCATGCGCACGCAGATTAATTTCAGATTTCTTGCAAGTGGGAGTGACCATTGAATCAGAAAGGTAAAACTAATCAGTGGTAGAGAGAGGGGTTGTTTATCGCATCAAAAATAGTTATTCTATCTTGCGCTGATTTTTTCATGCAGGAAGGCTAGACTGTCTCAGATCCGTATGTGTGTGGAGCTAAAGCACGTTTTCTTGTTGGCATCAAACAGTAACTCTTAAACAATGACCACAGAGCACAGACCATTCAGTACCTCGTTTGAAGAGGGTTTGCTGATCAGTTTGTTGTTGATCTGTTAGCCAAGCTTGACGACTCGCCTGCAAACGTCCCCTTACCAGTAGAGTGCGCGTCATCAGTAAGCATTTGGGCTGGCTTGGGGACTGAAATTCCACAAAGGAATGGTGCATACTTCATACTGTGTTGGTACAGGACAAACCCGTCTGAAGAGTGAATGAAACTTGTATAGATGATTTCCACCCGCCTTTATTGTTTTCGTCTACCTTATGTCTATCTTCACAGGGAAGTATTGAACAACTGATCATTCCATGCCGAGTGGACGGAATGTCCGGGGTTTTGGAATGCTCAGTTTTCGGAAGTGTCGACGGACTGGCAATCAACGTGAGACATGTGGACACGTGTGATATAAAGTGAGCTCTTCGTACATCTTCAGGTATTTTTTTGAAAAATAGATCGCTTGCCTCGGAGCATTTCATTCTACGATGAAAAATGTGAGAACACTTGGACCTACGTTAAGTTTAGCTTCGTCCAGTTTTTAAATCATCACAGTCTGCATAATAATAATAATAATAATAATAATAATAATAATAATTGCTGTAGAAACCACTGTACTTGTCGTACAGTGGTTGTAACTGCCACAGTTTCGTTCACCAATGATTCGGGGGGGGGATAGATAGCTGCCATTGAGGACGCCACTGGACTATGCCTGATAATGTCTCTAACAATTGATGTGGCCCGTCTCGGAGTTCCCATCCAGGAGGACGGCAGTGACCAGCGCAGCTGAGTTTGTCCCTTTCAATTGTTTGTTTGACCGCCTCTGGATTGTTTCTACTCCCCACGTGGTTGTGCGAAAGGATCCCCTCGAGGAAGTCGCTCGAATGACATAGCACGTGGCCCTTTCAAGTCATTGTTTGACCGCCTCTGGATTGTTTCTACTCCCCACGTGGTTGTGCGAAAGGATCCCCTCGAGGAAGTCGCTCGAATGACATACGCAGCACGTGGCCACGGGGTTTTTCGTTTCACTTTGATGTCAGCAGTAGAAGCAAGGGCGTTTCTTGTCTGGATTTTACATACTAATCATGGGGTTGCTGAAGTCACTTCGACATCCCATGGCCGCTTACCCTTCATGGGATCAATCAAATAGGCGCAATCACCTAGTTTCCCTTCCCTGTGTGTTCTACTTCCACCCGAGTTAGACAGATCTCGTTGTCAACCCTCATTTGCACACGGATTTTGTTTTGATAGGAGATTCAACTGAATCCAGACGAATATCTCGCTTATGTCCAGACAGATTTCGAGTGCGAATGGGAGCACCTGATGCCCATTCTTCTACAGGAGAAAGTCCTAGTAAACTAAATTCAACCAGACAGACGTGTCTGTCGAACAACACAACCAGGACATTTACTAGGCAGTCGGTTGGTTCGTCCAACCAACGAATCACAGTGCCCACGAATGAACACGTCCTCCTGTTCAGATGTAATACTTCAGATGTGTCCAGTATGAATTGGTGGAGTAATTGCGACACGCTCACCTTTCATGTTAGATACCTGTGGGTTTAAACCTAGCTTGGTCAACAATACACGTTCTTTGTGGGCTCCAATAAGAGAAAAACTCCGATCCTGTGCTTCCTCCGCTTTGTATGGACTCGCCAGGAAGATAATTACGTCAGAATAAGAGAATGGTTTTGGAAACACTAGTGAATGTGAAGTCTACAGATCCCGAAACCACCTACAGCTAAGGGAACATTAGTCTGCGCATAGTAGTGATGAAAGGCTAGTTGGGAGTAACCGAAAAACCTGTTACTTTATACTGAGTCAGTTACGTTAAACGAAAACTAACCGACTTAAACAGTTGCATTGGTCACAGCCAAAGACGGAACGAGATGTGGGATAAACTAGGTTGGGATGTTGACTACCATCCACTGACAGCTGTGGTACGGTCTTTATAAAACCTTATTTATCAGTGTTAGAAATCACTGCGGCACGCACCGTACAATGGTTACAAAACTTGGAGCTCGCAATCAGGTTAACGCTTGTTAACCAACATTATTTCCGAAATTCTGCTGTTCTGTCATGAGACTGCTGATGTACATCGAGTGAAATTTCTAGAAAACTCATAGGGCTTCACAGTTTACTCCAGCTTGGTGTCGTTTGGCTGCCAGGGTGTGGGAACTCACATCACCAAACCTTGAATAGGTTGAAAGCGATCCAAGGGGCTTGGGTACTGTGACGAGCAGATGGTTCACAATTTTCACCCATTGAAATAGGGTTGGATTGAAATACGCTCAAACATGGCCACTGTCCCTTTTTTCTAAAGGCTCAATCTATTTAAGTTGAGGGACAACTGGAATATTCATTCACATACGCGATCCACACGCTGATCCCTTTACAAGGTGTTGTAAGGTGAAACACTCTGAGGTATTGCAATTGTGAAACCTCTGGGATGAAAGCGTGACGTTTAAGTTGGAAAGTTGATTACAAATTGACCGAGGTGACAAGCTATAAAACATGAAGAGCTTCATTTCGTCCTTCAACAACCATATGGTTTATAGGGCTTTACCCACACCTCAAGCCTGTCAACACCGACCAATACTAACACCCAATAAAAACGACGTGTGATCTGTTTGTGTACGTAAGCAACGTACTGACCCTTGGTCATCGAATCGGTTAGTTACATTGTATAACCTTCACCGATGTCTACTAAACAAATCAAACCCTTCCGTCATTCAAACAGACGTGTTTTTAACTTGATAACTGTTCTTCGCAAGAACCTTTTACCTAACGGATTAGCAGTATACTTCGTTGTCACGATTGACCCCAAAGCGGATGCCATCTAGCAGAGGTCTCATTCGAAGTAAATCCGTCAACAAAGGAATTAACTGACTTACAGCTACCACAACAACCACTCTTAATTCACCCCTAATCAACACCTACGACTTCAGAAAACACACTGTCGGACTAGAGTATCCAATTGTAGAAGCGGCTGACAGAATACAACCTAGAGAGACTGCAAAATAACTCCTGAATGAGAATACCTCCGTGTAAAGGGAGAACTGGCAAGAAACTGTCTTGCACCGTGGAGGCTCTCCTGTAATGCAGGTTGTTAGCATCCGGCTTTTCCAAACAGCCATTATTATTATTATTATTGCTGTTATCAGTATTATTATTAGGGCACGTGACCTCCTGGGTTGTCTGAAGTGAATGCTCCAGACGTTGCTTCTTGGTGGTGGATAAGGCCAGGCGTACTCTTCTTCTTAAAAAAATCAATCAAAAACATCAACATCAGTGTGTACACTGATGCTTCATTGCCGTACAACCACAAAATTTATCAAATTATATTTAAAAGCCTGGAGGGAAAGAAGAGAAAAGAGAGGGTGAGGGAAGGGACCTAGCGCTAGCTTATTTCAAGCATTCTGACGTGCTTACTCCAAATGTACTATGGTGAACCTGCATGGCAGTCTTTAGCCTCTTCTTCCAGATCATTACGCGAATCGGGAAACGGCGGATGTTCTAGGCTTTTTCACTGATATGATTTTTGCCTTGTACAGCGGTCATAAGGGAAAGACATTTAGGATGACAGGAAATTGTCTTAAATGGACCGGAATTGAGGTAAAAAAATATATATGGTATTGACCCATATAAATTAATGTACCTCCTCCTGCTACGCGTTTTCTCCTTTGTTTACTGTTGTTCAGATAGGTTTTTGGCTGATTTTCTGACAACAAACGGCTGTTTCAAAACTGCGAAATTTCCCTTAGGGATGATTTTCATCCCAAAGACACGACACGTGGACATCGGGCAATTGTAATCAGTTGAGAAGTCAAATAATGTTTTGCAGCTGGGTTGACTCCTGATCTTGAGGTTTATTATATCTCTCCTTCAAATGTTAGTAATCCTGTGAGTCTAAATCATTTCGTTTTGACAACCCTAGAATCAACACCGTTGAGAGCGAATCAGAATGTTCTGTATCATCGTCCTCAGCAATGCCCGACCAAATCATAGTCGGTCCAACCATAAACCATCCGCCCAATCTCAGACTCTGCTGTCCTGTGGAATGCTGGATTGAGGTGGTCAATCTTACCCCCATACCAGCCCACATCGAGGCAGGTGCGCTCAATCTTGGTTTAGCTGAAGATCTCAAATTACCCCCCAACTGCACGCCAAAAATCAGCTCTTCTGGAGAGTGCCAGAAAACAAGGGAGGACAGTACCTTATTTGGAAGGAACACATGGGCAGCTGAGAAGACAGAACGGCGACTACTATACGGTAAGCCTGAGCCTGCGTACCGTTCATCGCTAATCATTTTGCAGCAGAGTTGTGCTTACCATAAGCATACCTGCAGCAGCATCGCCTTACTGACTGACGATGTATCACACATACAAAGCCACATCAAAACCAACATTGATTTTTATATAAAATAACAAAAAGTAGATAAAAAATGACAATAAGGACAAAAGATTTATAAGTTGTAATCGCCCACACCAATAGTCCTCTGATATATTTGCTGTTGAATCACTAGCATTTACGGAACAAGCGCTTTTACCACTGGGAAGTTGAGTAGGTCAACCTTTAAGGAAATACAAACGGCATGTGCGAGTATTTCTGTTTACGCATCTCTGACCTCTGCTTTCAGGTAATATTAGACTCAGCAGACTGTGATACTTTGCTTTTCAATGCCTTACATATGGTATAAAGTGCCGCGTGTGGCCTGTTCTCCGAGCTTCGTAGCTAGAATGCAAAAGTTCCGTTCCGAATCGAGGATACATCTTCAGCACAAGGTTGGGTGGGTACACTCTTCTACGTGTACTTAAATGGTTTCTAAACCTTAACTAATACCTCTAACTTAATTATTTGGCCGCGAGATTGCCTTCGATTAATTTGATTGCCCAGTTTGGAATCAAAGTTGTATTGTGGACTCATTCACCTATATCTGATTGGTTTGTTTACTGCCTTCACTTCGAAAGCCTAGAACCTGCTCTATGACCGGCCAGCGTACTTCTTGTTTTTCGGTCTTCTTTTCCTCTACACGGTCAGGTGATTACATAGTCTTCTATTTATTTGTAGTTCTCTTTCTCTAGTCCGGACGTTCCGTCGGCTATTTTTATATTCGATTCCTAGAATCCGGTGATTGCGTAATTCTATTCCCCGAATAGGCTGCTAGACTAGATTGGTGTTGATACAGGCATTGCTTGATTTTTCTGTGGAAAGCCATGCATAGGAAAACTTCGGCTCTGTTTTGATTGTTGCATGAGCAAATATATGAATATTTTCCCTTTTGAACTGATATCCCTCTCTGCCCATGTAGACTGAAACACCTCACGCGCCACGTCGAATTTTGTACGTGATTTCTCCTTCATCACTTTCACTCCCTCATTCTGTTTCAAGAAGTTTCACCTCAACAGAATTAAATGCACTTTCATTCTCTGTTTTTTAAGTCTGTTGCACACAGTTCGGCAATGTTTTTTATCTATCCTAGAGTAATCCTTCTCTGTTGAGGCTGTGTTGACAAAAAAGCCTGGCACGGATTTTTTCAGGGAACTCTCCCTCGGACAGCAGTATTTTGGGATACCTGATAAAGCCGCCAGTACTCCTCTGCTTTAAAGTCTTTGTGTTGCAGCACATCTGGATTCGTTTGAACAGGTTTCGAACGCGTCTTTTTCGAGATAGTTTGTGTGGCTGGTGAAGTGGTTCAAAATCTGGTCCTTGTGCGTTTCTTTTCTATATACTTTGTTTTGCAGACTGCCTTCTGCTGTTTTTGTAACGATTGCGTCTAGGATAACCAAATAGTTGTTCTCCAGCATTGACGCTGTGAAGTAAATCCCGGGAAACCCGTTGCTCGACTTTAAGTTGGCCGGTGACAGTCCGCTCCTTTTCCCACATATATATATATATATATCGCGTCTCCATTTATTTGATTTTTTGTGGAGCAATCTGCCCCAGTTTTTTGCACTTTGGATTCCGCAATAAATTCTTCAGGCGCTCTTTTATTTTTCGCGACATCCTCTCTTAAGCTCAAGTTAGGCTGTTGAGTGTATGTCGGATGGCTTTAGATGAAAAAACGGATCCCGTTAGGTCTCTCGCTAACACTTTCCTAAGCTTCGACTCGTTAAAGAAACATTATCAGTCATTGATATTTCCAATGTTCCTAGAGTTGCGTGATTTTCATCGCCAGTCATGTCCTGCGTAATCACCAGTCTGCCCGATGGTCCGAATCAGAGCAACTTATCTAAACAAAGCGGTATGATTCTTACTATCTACTCAAAAGCTTTTATGAGTCTCTACGAAAAAATACTCAAAAAAGCAGTAGTAGAGTGTCAGAACCCAAGTCTTGCTTGCATATTTTCATTGAATCGTTCGGAATAAGTATGACCAAAGTAGCATTGCCAAGACAAGACGGTTTTTACACTATCATTTCAACTTATCAATGTAAAGTGTGTGAAATTTACAACCGCCATTTACCTTGATGTCTAATGAAGCAATCAAATTCTGTCACAAGCAACCATATTCTCCGCAAATACGTGCCATAAATGAACGACAGATTCTGCAAAAATCCTGTCAGCGGTTCTGAAACAAACCAAAGTAAAATTTCGGACAATTTTCTGTGAATGCATGCTGTGGGTCGGAAGATATATTATTTCCACAGTCGCCAAACAATCTATGACGTTGTCATACTAGATAAAAAGTTATTCATGGGGCCTTGAATTAGAAGCAAGTTTGTTTGCTTTCACAGCACCCTTTCAAAATTTTCATACTCCACAGTTAAGATACAAATTTTGTGCTTAGAGTCACTTGCATCGCCCAACATAATAGGGGGTCTAGAAAAGAAGGGAAAGCGGAAATATTATGACAGAAAGCTCTATTGCTATTTCTGTGCTTTTTATCTCCAGTAAATGTTAAATAATATCATAGTAACAAAGAAGACCACCAGTAGCACCTACAGAACAATACCGATAAGACTCGTTTCTGTTCTCGGTCTTTATCGATGTCTTTAATCACAGGAATCACGTTTTTCACCTAGTTGTTTGCTAGACACAGAACATGACTTGCTTTAAATTGCGGCGAATTTCTTCCGAACAAGAATGAGTTGTACCCAGAACCATCCCTCGAAATATGACCATGGAGCACCCTGAGAATTTGTGTGGGAGTCATTTCGTAGATACACCTTTAGCCTTTGTATAGCCAAACACAGAATTAAAGAAGTCAGAACCGCCACTGCCATCCAATCGTCAAAATTGTCGTTTGTCAATCCATCAGAATTCAAAGCTTTACAATGGTACCGATGTGAGAAGAAAGTAACTTAATAATCTGGAATTAGGCAGTGAAAGGATCTTGAGGAAATTTAAAGAGACTGAGCTTACTTTAGTCCTTTGCTTCTGCTGGCTTCCATCAAGCTTCCCCCAATTTTTCGCTTCTTGTTTCAAACATAGGGGTTTTACTTGATCGTAAGGAGTCCTTTGTGGCAGCATTTTGTTAGGAGATTTATCTATAATTCAGAATATCTGGGTGAAAGCCCAAAACTTCCTAAATGACAGAAACTGGAAGAATTATCCTTATAGTTGTTTTACACAAATCTGTCTCTATATTTTCGGGTGCAGATTCAATCATTGATAGCAACGAAACATTCTGCGGAATACAACAAATATGCTTCTTCAGCGTGATAATTAGGATCTATGGTAACAGGACGAAAGGTGTCGTTTTGGTGTTTTCGGAGGCTTTTAGCGAAGGAAATACTTCATCAATCAGTGAATTCATCGAAAATTACATGTGCTTAAAGTTTTTGGTAGAACCTTAGCCTTTTAAACGCAATGATCTGATTTGGACGTTGTTGCCATTAAAATTATAGCCAGATGTTGCATCTCCCAACATCCGTACACGTAAGGTCTCTGATTCGCTCTGAGTTATCAAAGATCTATGAAAAGTTGACCCTGCTCATCAGTGGGGAATACACCTAAGGCACATATTACACATAAAATGTGGTTCGATTGCCAGCTCTCCGCAACATCCAGACATTCAGTGCAGTTAGATCGTAACAGTGGACAACAGAACAGTCTACCTAAAACGGTTTGCTTTACCTGCATCGTTTATCAATATCACTGTCATCATCATTGGCACCGCCAACAACATCGTCTTTGTCGTCTGCATCATCATGCCCACCAATTTTTACATCACGTGTAACAGTCTGAGCTACGCAGGTATCGTAACATGACTATAATAATTTGTTATCTATATCGGAGTCCTTTTCCCCTCCCTCTAATACAGAATGGTGCCAGGCGGTGATGGACGATTCAGAAGGAGCACGCTTATTTGTCGTAGCGTCCAAACTGGTCGCAGAAGGAATCCAAAGTGAAATACACATATTCAAAACCATTATTCATTCAAATCCGGAATGGACATTGCCACCACTGGGTAAACTCCGTATTTGTTTTGCTATTGTGGCTGATCTGTGGGGCGAGTACAACGATATAATCCAGGTTCGTGCTCGGTCTGTTCCGCTAATGCCGAATAACCCTGACCCACCTCCCATTCACTTGCCCATCACGTTTTCGGTCAACGACTGTCCAATTCTGCTTCCGATGGCTAGCACATTTGGCCAAGTGACAAATAAGGTAGGAAGAAGTTTACATCCCTTGGAACGTAACATTCTGGAATCGACGGAGGAACCGATCACTGCTGCCTTCACCGATGGGGCAAGTCAATGCACTTTGAGATTGGGATCGTATTTGGTGGGCAGTGCAGTGGCAACCAAAACGGTAAAACTCTACAACTCCTCGTCATCACGTAAGTTCTAACTGATGCGTCTAAACAAGGCTGTTTACGCGTCTTTCATGGGCTGCGTACGCCAGTCGACCGGCCTCCTCAAGAGGTTCTTTTCGCACAACCACGTGAAAAGTAAGAGAAAGCTAGGGGGGTCAAACAGTGGCTTGGCAACGAAATATGAAAGCCATAGTCAGCAAACTCAGCTGCGCTAGTCACTGCTGTCCTCCTGGATGAGGACCTCGAAACAGGCAACATCAGTGGTTACAGACATTATCAGACAAATCCTAGTCACGTCCTCAACGGCGCTTGTGCATCAAGATATTGCCTTCAACGCATAGTTCCCTTCCCAACCCAACCAAATGACAGTCCACTTGCCATATTCACGCACCAATATATCGCCCTCCCCCTCCAATGCACAGCTATCTACCCCCCCCCACCGAATAATCGGTGAACGAAACTGTGGCAGCTACCACCACTGTACGGTAAGTACGCGGTTCTTACAGCTGACAATGATGCTGAAAGACTTTCACAGTGCGCCCAATCTTCCGCCCCCCCCCCCCAATGCCCAGCTATCTCCCCCCCCCCCCACCGAATAATCGGTGAACGAAACTGTGGCAGCTACCACCACTGTACGGTAAGTACGCGGTTCTTACAGCTGACAATGATGCTGAAAGACTTTCACAGTGCGATGACACCGATTTAGAGCATACACATAAAACAACCAACGCGGTTAAACTGGAGGCGTCGCCCACCGCGTTATTGTCTAAACATCAAATAATCATCGACACAGCAATAAAGCACATCACACTATAATGTAACACTAGTAACATAACTACTTCACATGTATGTAAAAAATGTATAGCTTCGCTGAATGACCTAAACCTTGTTTTGTCTATCTGGGTATATTTTTATCTCTCGCTTTGTAATAGCGAAATATCTTTATTGTTTTTGAATTTACATATAGCAAGCAATGAAAACAGATGGATTTATCTAGCATTATTGATTTCCAATCACAGTCTAGTTAGACAGTTGTGTCGGATAAACCAAATCCCAGGTCTACCCTACAGAAGCCCACAAATCCCAAAGCCAGATATTGCCCTGTAAGACGTTCTACGTCCCTACAAGTGACCTCTCAAAGGTGGACATTTACGAGCTGTCTTAATTACAGTCATTTCTGTAAAACATTTCAAAGCACCTACCTTAGATTTTCCCAGGTTTCAATCGTTCAAATTTTTGGACATTTCGTTTGTCACTCTGGTAAAACCAAAGCGACTACGCCCATCATCAAAACCCACGATACTGTGTGAATTAAGTAGAAATGGAATGTAAAGCCTGAAATTGAAAGATTCTGATCCTTTGGGTTTCGGTTGGTTGAAATAAGACTAAAGAATACAGCGATTTCACCGTGGAAGAAAACTCAGTAGGAATTAATGGCAGCCTACTTAGGCCATCAGGAGAGATTCCAGTTATACTGACCCCCCTGGCCATCTGCTGAGTACCGCAAGGACCCTGAAGAGCTTTCAGGCACACTTGTTTTGTGTGGTATCAGAGTTGTCATTCTTTAAGTTTTTCTATCTGGCGCAAAAGTAGTACTTGTTTTTCAACGGCTAAGGACTAACTCTAGGAACAAAAAGATCACCTTTCTGGATTAACACATTAAGACTGATTAGAAATCTTGTGGTAAACGGGGCGGTACAGGTGGTCCAGCTTTTTTAGAGGAGCCACGCCTTCCAGGAGTTCAAAAACACCTGCTTCACACTTCAGTTGTGTTAGATTACTTAGCAGGCATGAAGTAATGGGCCCTTCAATGAAATAGCAGCTCCGTTCAGTCTGTTGTATCACCGATTTGGATTTATCTTAGCGCGTAACTTCTTTCTCGATAGGAAAAAACTCACTTTGAGAGGTTTTCAATCAGTTCAACAAAACTTTGTCTAGAGAAATTTGTTAATCGTAAAGTTGCTAACCTAATAATAAATCGGCCAGTTTACCCAAATTAAACCCAAAATAACTTTATCTACATTAGCGTATACTCAATCGCGCGACTCGTCTAGGACGAGAATCTTTTTCCGTGTGTAATAGTTTCTTTGGAATCACAGTTTGATATAATCATAATTGACAAGTTATCCTTTGCAGACAAGCAGCTATCCTTGTTCTGATGAGTTCATATTCCAGGGGAGTTCCATTTATAATATTTTGAGGCCATGCTTCACTTTTATGAAACCAGTCACACCTAACTCCAAGAACTAACTAACAACAAATTTGCATGATTTTTTTACTGGAGTTGGAAACGCTTCTAATAAGGACTTCATAGGCACTGCAACTGAGCTTCCCCTGGAGCTTTCCCTTTTAAAACATATGGTTACATATGGTAACATACAGGGTCTTTCAGACGCAAAATTTGATTGGGCAAGTAAACGTAGTCAACCAGAAGGAGGATGACGAAATTTTTCATTATTAGTAGCCACATAAAAGAAGGTTTTGTGTGCAGGTGTTGGTATTTTTTCTGTCTACGACGGATGTCAGTACGCGCATTGGTGAAAGCACTGCCGCTGCACTTCGTGGTTACAAAACCACACATGATCTCATCAAAGATCTTTTCATCATGTAGACCATTGCACGCTTGATTGCGAAATTTGAGTCCACTGGATCTGTATTGGGTTTTCCTGGCAAAGGGAGAAAGTCTATGAGTGATGAAAGAGCGCCCATTGTACAGAATGCCATCGAGCAACTTCAGTCCCAGAGCACCATAGCATTTTCGTCAATAACTCATGTGTCTCAGTTGACCGGCATTTCCCGCTCCAGCGTGCATCGTATTATGAGACGCCACCTTCATCTCTACCCATATCATTTCACTTGATTACAAAAAATCACGGAAGAAGACAAGGAGCAACGTGTCACGTTCGCTAACTGGCTGCCGGACAATGAAGAAATCGTTTCCAACGTTTTATGGAGCGATGAAGCAAATTTTCTCTGTGGATAGCATAATCAACAACCACAATTGCGTGATATGGTCCCGTGAAGCCCCTCACGAGTACCTCACCCATAATCTCCATTCCCCTCATCTCTGTATGTGGATGGGATTCTCCTCAAAGTGTCTCCTGCGTCCCTTTTCTTTGATGCTACGGTTTTCGGCAACAATTACCTCCATATGCTGCAGACGCATTTGTCCCGCAACTCAAGCAGAACAAGAAGTCATCGACCGTTTTTCAACAAGATGACGCGCCACCCTACTACTCAAACCAAGTAAGAACTTACCTCCGAGAGCAATTTTCTGATGAGTGTCATTGCTCGTGGATTTCCAAGCCCTTGGCCCGCAAGGTCACCCAATCTCACACCTCTGGATTATTGGTTTTGGGGAATGATCAAGACTTGCGTATATCATGAAAATAAACCAAGGAATTTGATGGAGTTAAGAGCAAAAATTGAAGAGGAGTGTGCACGAGTGACGCTTGAAAAAGTTAAACATGCTGTGTCTCACATCTCATACCGCCTCCAACTTGTTATAGAAGAAAGGGGTGATTTTTTCCAAAATCTTTTGCAATGCCAGTTCGTTTACAGTAAACCTTCATAATGTACGTATGCTTGCATAAAAAATGATATATATTTAATTTAGTGTTAAAGTTTTGACATGTGTATTACTGTTTGCGTCTATTATGAGACACTCTGTACATGGTTACCTATTTAAAAAACGGCTACAAATGGTTTTACTTTTTCCTACAAATTATCTTCCCCTTTATATCTGCCATCAAGCCGTCTGTTTAGTGTACATAAATACGAAGCGTCTAAATTCCATATGCACAAGACCGTGACATTCTTGTAGATCAACGTCTCTTTGTAAACAGATACAACTGATCAGTACTATGCTGGACTCCTAGGACTAACTTTCGTGACTAGCTTTACTGTAATCGCCCGTTGATATTCCTCCTATTCACTTGACAATACTACTCTTATGAGCACTTTTGGCGTTGGCCGTACAAACTGTGTGAAATATAATTTTGCTTTATTTTCTACTTTCCTCTCTATCTAGCCATTCAAATTGACTGGCAGATATACCTAAATCAGGGGAAGGACGATGTGAACGATTTGATCGAATTACTTTGCTTCACCAATCCCTGTTTTGAACCTTCACCTGGAGGGCACGAAGCGAACCCTGTGCGACCAGATGCATCGAGCGGTAAGATAGTTTTATCCAACTCCCTGCAAGTCTGTTATCAGGCTTCCATCCAAATGGTAGACCTTTATCTCTAGCGATGTGTGAATCTCATAAGCGTAGATTTCAAGCCCGTGTGAACCAATTCAAATGATGTTCCTTGAAGCAAAATATGCAAAAATATGCAAAATAAGTAGAAAAATATATACTTTAAGTGGGTAGAAAATTGCCGCAGTTGAGTCCGCGAAACGTCGGGCTCCTGGTGGCTAAATTCTTTGTTATTGTGCCAGACGACAGGTGTCTGGGTTTCTATGTGAAGTGCGTTTGTAATCCTTATTGGGAAAAGAACCGAACTGAACCTCCTTCTATCTCAGTTTGAAGGGACTCGGTTGTACATGGACTAATACACTGAATCAAACCATAAAGATAGATTAATCATATGTAAATGATGAACTCTGAATAAGGCAGAACACCACACGTTTCACGAAAGAATGGCAGTTATTTTTAGCCGCATCATTCTCCTTTGAACTGCCCTTATCCTATTTTGGTGCAGTCATTCTGTTCAGTGGAGAAACCATGTAATGAGTTCCGCTCTTTTAAAACTTACCAATCGTTCAAATCCTCAGCTTCGTCGAAATTCGACCACTGGCCATTTTGACATGTAAAGGAAGCATTTTACTGTTGCTTTAGATGCTAGTTATTCATTTCGAAAGTGGAGAACGGGATCACATTTGAGTGATGAGTTATTTGCATTCAAACAACTAACTTTATGGACCATTTGATGAAGCGCCCACTAGAAAATTTCGCTGTGGAAGGATAGAAGCGAGGATATCTCAAAGCTGCGAGAAACGCTCGGAGTTTCGCATTCGAAATGACAACAATCGTATGGGCATTCGATTCTTATTAAAGCTCATCAGTAGTATACATACTTTGGCGTCGCCGGTGTTAGAACTCCTGTGATCGAACACCTCCGACAAGCGTTTCCGTAAGGACCCCCAGAAAAGTAGGTGGGTTTCGAAACCAGGGCTATGTGAATACAGGTGGGTAAACGACTAAGCAATGGAGACAAGCACTTTGTTTTAACCAGTCCTCAAGTTTTGGTAGGTCACAATGAATCGATAACAATATGTGATAAGCAATGGTAACGAAGATGACTGTTGATCCACAACGACGAACTCACAAATAAACAAATTATTCTTTCAGGTCTTAATCTACCAAGTCCCCGTCAACTGCTCGTTATACAAATGTTTATGCTAGAAGCTATGGCAACACAACAACCGTTGTGTTGACAAGGTCATCCACTCGGGCTTTCATTGCTCTAACGGAAGTACACCCGTTTAATCATGTGTTTGCTGTAAGCTTTCGCTATGAAAGGGTTATGTCCTGGCTTGTGTGGAGTTTGGTCGCTATGTTCAGAAAACAATCGACTCTGTGACTTATTATGTTTAAAAAAGTTCTGGAAAAAAGTAATTTATGCAATTTCGGTTCACAGTTCAGTGCTTGTAGCACATTCAGCTTATTTCTCAACGGCTTCTGGCGGCCTGTTTTTATCACTATAAAATCGACTTAGCATTTATTATTACTATGGGTTAATTGGTACAGCATGTTGTTGAACTTTTCAGATAACAAAGTGAGATAAAAATGTTTTTAGACCGGCTGATTTTAAGCTCGGTTCCATAGTTTGGTGGTTTTCAACCCATACTTTGTAAATGCTTGTTCCGGAACACTCAGATAGAGGTTGCAGAGGTGGTCGAATTTTCTGCACACGGTTTTGGCTCTAAGCTCTAAAGTGTTCTGGAGATGACCGCAAAGCGTCCTTCTTTCAGGAGTTCGTCTGTCTTGTCATAGTTATGAGAAACGGTGATAAGGTAATCATTCCAAAAAAAGACTCTTTAAAGCCAGCCAATTCACTGGATTACCCATAAAAGTGTCACACACAAATCACAATTCGGTGTGCGACTATATCAAAGTGCAAAAAGGTGAAATTATATCACCTTAAGAATGACAGAAAAGTTTTTTTTGTCTGCTCAATATGCCGTATACCTATACTGATTCAACTTCCTCCGTTAAACTTTATTTGACTGACGTAAATCAGAAAGTTGAAAAAAGCTATTCAACCGGTCTGTACTTTTAAAGTGCACTAACAATGCAATAAATCACTACACCTATCCTCTGCCCAGTTAATCATCAATTTCTATAACAAACAAACTCGCTCATTTAATTTATTGCGTAAAAATATCAGTAATCGATGTGGTGGCCAAATAACACCCACAAATCTTTTACTGGATTTATTATTTGGCCTTGTCACTAAAAGAATCCCATTTCCGACAGATATGAGCCACGCGCCGTTCTCATACTCAACCGGAAAGCGTTTCAGCTATTGCTAGGCTCTATTCACAGAGTATCTTGGCCGTTAATTTGCTTATTAAGCTGGTTGAAAATGTTTCGTCCCTCGTCGAGTTAACATCACCAGTGCGTAGTGAGTGGCAGTGCGCCGAGGCTGAAACTGATGATATCACCTTGACTGGGGTTGAATCGTTTGCAACCAACAGCCCTGACTAGCTAGCAAACCAATGGCCGTTATTGCAAACTCAGCTACCAGTTTTCTCTTCAATTACAAACTGTTCTTATGTATTCAAATGGAATGGATTGTAAACGATAATCCCTGGATCAGATGATTCGCGATAGTAGCGGATTTGCAACCTGAAAAACTGAGTTGGCTGAGAACCTTATGGGTCTTGGTTGTACGGCTCTCCGTTGAGCAGTCTCTCATGCTGAGCAGGTCGCCCCTCGTTGATACGATCAAATCTTTGATGCGACTGCATTCGACCGGCCTTTTCAAAGTCGTAAAAGGCAAGTTATGTTTGACTAGCTTAGGCGAGTGTTTAATGAGACGGTCCGTTTTTACACCGTTGACATAGGCCTTGGAAACAAGGTTTACTAGCCTAAACAGGAAGAGAGTTTTGATTCATCTGTGGGATACTCGTGTGCTGCAGACGTTTAGTAATCAAACAAATATGTTAATACTGTATAGTCTCGCTTTATGTACTATAGACAGAAAAAAGCCTCATGTTGACTGATACAGCAGATATCTGACCACCGTTTCAAGCACGTTGTATATCTGTCTAGGATTTTGATGTACCAAGTCCATTATGGTTTTGCTCAGCAAGTGCATGTCCGCCAGCGAGTCGCGTTATTGGGTGGTCAATACTGATCGATTAAGTGACTTTTGCGACCGAAAATCGGTCACGTTTGTTTGGACTGGCCAACTGCATAATCAATACTTACAGAGTATAATGTGAGGACTTGTGGACTTCTGCATTTGTTTAACATGAAACAGCGAAAGAAAGACGAGATGGTAGCTTTTTAAATTATCGAATTAAACATAACAATTAAACTAACCAGAAAGGAATACAAATTAGGAAATGTCAGAAGTAAATATGTGGTTTGCAAGCATTTGAGAGTATATTACGAGTAAGGTCTCTCGTACGACTTTTTCTGTGCTTTTGGTAGTGACCCCTCCTGTGCGAATTGCTCCTGTCAACTTCGAACAAGATTTACCATCACCAAAAACCTAGTTTTGCCTTTCACCTTGGGAGAGAACATTATTCATATGATGATAAATTTGAATTTCCGCACATTGTAGGCAGACTGACTAGAGTTTAATACCCAAGTAATAGGGAAGTGAAGACCGATAATGACAAAGTTCGTTTCAATACCAATCTAATACGATCCACGTCCAGCTTAGCAGACCTTCCAACTCAAAGCAGCCCACTTCCTCGGTGCCATGATTTGTTTCAAGAATTACTTCCAAAGATTATGGGTCACAAACATCTAGGAAGAAAACCTAGTGCACTAGAAATGGGGGTTTCATTTTTGTATGAATTTGTAGGCTTTCCGTCCGGAAGCATACATTGTTTCTTTCTCCAAAAGTACACTGGTAACAGTTTTCCTAACCTAGTCTAATCTTATCGCACTTTTCAACGGGATCCGCTTCTGTTGCGCACGATTTTTGGTCAGGCGTCGGCATTTTTATAAGGACAACTCGTACTGGTAGATTTGAGTAGTCACGTCTACCAACACTGTATGGTGTCATATGACTTGAACCCAAGTGCAGTGTTACACCCAACTGAAGTCGATCTACCAACCTAAAAATGGGTTGATGGGAAGAAATACTGAACTGATTTTCAGGTATCTTGCTGGATCTTTGCTTATTGTACTCGACCAGACAAAATGAACTGTTTTGAAATATTATATAATAAATGCCACAAGCAACTTTGTGCGCTTGGTTAGATCCAAAAGTAACATTGAATTTGCCGCGATACTATTAAAAGCGTCAAGTCTTATGCAAACTGATTGGGGCGTTTTGTAGATTGTCATTTTCAATTTGTCCCCGCTGGGCCTCTACTCATATCTTCATAATTTTCCGCTGGATAGGAAACGTCAGTTTATGGACTGTATCACCTCAGTTCATGGTTCTTTCAACGCTATTTCCACCAAGGCTGAGCTAACACGTCACATTATGTTTTTCACGCTTATCAAATAAGTCTTGACTCCGGAGTTTGCCAGCCTGTGGATTAGTAGTTGGTCTCGCTGTCATACTTGTGAATATTCCGTCCTCGGTAGCCGACCACACACAGTACTGGTGTCACACAGCATTTTAATTCCAGCTATGATCAATAAAGTCACTCTAAACAATTGACTCTTGTGTAGTTTCTTTAGTATTCTATTAGTATTCCATTTCGTCCTTTCATTCTACTGTTGACCCAACATATAGGTGTCCGTTGCTTTGTTCAGTAAATAGGTAATGTCTTGTGGAATTTAATGGGGGATGATTCGTATCAGAGCAGACCAGATACAACTAGGCCATTTCCACTACAGACCTTTCTATCTATCTGTCTTTTCTACAATCTTAAGTCTGTTCGTTATTTCTGTGGGTAGGCAGTCAGCCTCGCCATTCAGACCAGCAAGGCCATTAATCTGTGAGGAAGCATCTGATCCATTCAAAATGTAATGTTGTATGAATTGAAGCACCGGCTTTGGTCTGGGTGAGCACATAATATATGGTAACTTAAAAGAAGATACCTGAATAAGTTCGTTCTTCCAATATTGGGACCGGAAACACGCTGATCCATAAGGAATTGAGATGAACGGACGATCTCCGACGCCCTGGTGATTGCTTAAATCACGTAAGTAGCTCGGAGGAACAATAATCCCACAAGATGAGTGAAACTCCCTTCTGAGAAGTCGGCACTCAAGGAACCGGTCCATATATGACCACGTGATATGGTTTCCTTGGCTGCCGGGTAGGTGACACTCTATCTTGTATTAGTGAGAGCTAACCGCATTGCAGATCAGCCGCTCGTGGCCAAACGGTGGCGTTCAACCACTGGCCGGAATGTTGACGGTTTGGAACTCTTTCAGTTTCTTGAGATGCACATCGCTGATGAATCCTAACAAAGCTGAAAACTACTGTACAGTGCCTCTTAACTTTTCAGCATAGATTGACTTAACTGGCAGAACCAAACTCTGTTGAAAGTTATCGAATTTGGTCGTTAACCTGTTCGATGAGCTGGGCTGTTTGATTGCAAACGTTTCATCACCAATCGAGGTGACATCATCATTGCGTTATTGCGGAGTGTAGTGGTGCGTAGCGGTGGGTCAATGGTTGTGTCTTACATCACCATAAGTCTGACACCCTAGTTAAAACAGACTGGTTTTCCATTGCCAGTTCCCAGAACAACCAACAACAACAAACAACAAAACGGTCCACTTTGGTTCAGATCGGAAGGGTGCTTGTCACATGACTGCAAGTAGTGGGTAGTTTAAAGAAATGTAGACGACGTGTTAGGCGTAAAATTATTTATTTTTTGCTTGGATTAGGTAGCTGCTCCATTTGAGCTTTTAGTGTGGCCAACATTCGCAAAACTACTCATATTCGTATTACTATGCTTCTTTAAACCCTAAGTCCATTTTGCTGTTTTTTGAAAACCATTTCCGCCCCGTCTAATAGACCTTAAAGAACCAGCCAACTGGCCAATCTGAAAAAACCAAGGGACTCTTAGTCTTGCCTGTCATTTATTCCACACAGTAGTTTTCTAGCTGAGCAAATCAAAGTTCAATACTATTTGTCAGCTTCTTTTTTGTGTTGTTATCTTGCACACTATCAATGCAGCTACAGATGCAATGGACGAGAATTCCGATTTGCTTGGCATTGTTATTCGTCCTCGTGAGGGACAGCTGATCTGGCAGTCATCAAGTGCTCGAGTGTTGTCTTGCCACACCCAGGAATCCAAATCCATCTTGAAGATCACTCCTGCTCAGGTGACGGTCGGTGCGCATGAACACTGTTTTGTCACCGTAGCATTCGATCCGATACAAGCGTCCCACCTCCTCATAGCCGATGAACCTCACATCAACGTGTCAGCCTATGCGCTAGGGTACTTGCGTTTGAGCAGACCTTGCAGGAAAGACAAAAACGTGAGGCGTCCACTAACTTTCCTAGCTCCACCCATACGGTTGGATATGACCGCCATGTTGGAAAGACCGAGGTGGGTCAGTGTTGTATGGACACTGAAATTTTGCCAAATAACGCAGTAAATTGTTGCTATCCTTCTGGTTTTCACAGTGCTGTCCCTTATGGGATGTCCATCCGAGATCAGTCTTTTATTGGAAGCCACTTTTAGGAACTTTATGGTTCGTATTTTCATGCTGAGTAGCAAATACTTTTTAAGTGAATAGACATAGTTAAGACGGTTTTCTCCACTAAAAATGGCGCCTCTACTTGTGCATCTGCAGGCCAAACGACCCCGCCGTTTTGAACCGACAGACTGCGTCAATATGTTGAGTAGATAGCAAAAAGCATGTGGAATCTTTGGTGAACGTCTTCATAAAATTTGATGTTCTCGACCGCGATGCTGTAAACTACAAACTGTACTTAGTGTTCATCGATTCTGTTGAAACCACAAATGACAACAAGCTTTGTCATTTGAAACGCCTAAAGTAAACACTGGGATAAACTCCAGGAAAAGTGCGTATGATGGCTGTTTTTCATCCCATTCCTGCTAAACTTTCACGTTGGTTTACTTTAGTTGACCAATAAGTCGGTGAAATCAAACACGACGTGTCTACAACGGAGATCGGGGTTCATAGAATGTTGAGGCTAAGAGTATACACATCGAACCCGGACAGCAGGTGGACGGATCACGCTAATTATTGGATCATGCCACCTAATAAATACCGATCACAATAAAATGCGTTTTGGACCACCTTTCGATAGGACAAACTACTCTAAAAGTGCCACTGAAAAAATCAGTAAACCATCAGGTCTCCTCTTGATGAGCATGAAATTCAGAAACAATCCCAACAAAATTGAACGCACGTATTAAATCAGGGGAATCCAATAGCCCACAATCTTTAAGTCTACATATCGGTTAATTAGCATTGGCCTTAGCGAATATACACTCATTTGCAAACTAATTTGATTTTTTCGAGAGACTCACCTGGAACCCAGCTGAACCTCTCGTTTATGATGTTCCCAGGCAACTGAATGTGCTGTCGACGGATTTTCAGCAACCTTATGAGTAGTACATCACAAAGGTATAGCATTGGCCTTGTTCACAGTGAAGCCGGGTTTTCAGGATCACGTTCGCATGCTTGCTGGGAGGCGGGACCCATCACTGACCTTGAGCACGACCAGGCTGTTTGTGGCCTGAATAATGCCGAAAGTGTGGATAGCTTCGAGCAACCTGATGAAGAACAGCACCCGAAGAAAACTATTGATCATGGTCATAGAATAACTTATGAAACCTGAAGCCCAGCAGTTTCGTGGCTTCACATTTTGCAAAATTTGGGAAGGTTCATGACGTGTTGCCCTACAATTCCGTGGGAGTTTTCCATCTATTCTTTGAGAATATTTGAAGGATTTATTCGCTTCAAAGAATGTGAGTTTGTAGCGTTCTTATCTAACACAAAACATAGTCCACGAATTGTGTTCGAGATTGTTAAATAGCTGGCACACTAACTTGTGTGGGATCCACGGTTCATTGGTTTTCTCATAGGCCAGCACCCGCCGCAGCACACAGTACTGATAAATGTGGATCCTTTTCTCAGAAGCCGATTTTTGTCTTATTTTGTCTATTTGATACCAACAACGAAATAGGAAAAATCCAACTCGTCAATCAACTCTTAAAATCTGTTGAAAGGTTGTTTGTGTAGGAAACGAAGAGGCAAAAACATTAGCATATGTCAGATCCTATAGATTCTTCTCTCTTGTTCTTATAGACTCGTGTTTGATTGGGAGGACGAAGACATCCAAGCGTCGGCAAACGATGACATTCAGCCACAGTATGTAACTTTCCATGTGAACGTTGGGGATATTCTGACCCGAGATTTGAATAACTTTGTCAATGGGATGAGGCGTTTAAATTTCGTCAGGCAGAATGTATCTCCCCACCCTTCACCAGAGATGTCGGGAGTAGCAAAAAACGATAGTTTCTATGCACGGGACAATGTGATTTTCTCCCGTCCAGTTCGGATTCGTAGCCTGAACCAAGCACCCGTCCATGTTCAACTTCACGTTAGCACATCTGAAACCAAAATGTTTGGATTCATTCTGAATGACGAAAAGAAAACGCTGTCCAAAACAGAACTGAAGTCGAAATTGAGGAGAGCCCTGAAGTTTGTTCTGCAGCCACATCTCACGAAGCGGGTGAGTCATTGCTTTGATCACCTCCTCCCTCGAGACTTTAATGGTAAGGCTTTTAGGGGTTAGGCGTACTGAGTAGCTCAGGCCCATCAGGCAGTAATCGGGAAGATCACATTTGCCGGCAGTGTATGCAATGCACAAATTTTCCCTTGTTACTATTTCGAGCAGCAATGACTCGACAGGGGATTACAAACTGTTTATTGTTTACTGATCCAACGGTGGTGACATTTACGCGAATATTTCTCTACCAATCCAGGTATCAGTATAAATTTGTTCATTTTAGGCTTCAGTAAAAGAACGAGGCATGGATGGGACTCATTAGCCACACAACGCTCTTAGCTGCAAAACCTTTACGAGTGGAGTAAAACCTTTTGCGCCAAAATGTTGCATTTTGTTGCATATGTGCTCAAACCAAAAACCATCTTAATATACATTCATATTTTTGCAGCTCACCAAATTACATTGTCCACTGAAGCAATCATAACTCTGGCGGAAGGTCTGGTGAAATAATTTCCCAGGATCGCTGAGACCCCGGGACACCTAAATGGGGCTAAAAATTGTGGACTGGTATTCTGAACTCATTTGCGAGATTGCTTTGGTCCGTCAGGGACACGTCATAGCTTTCGAAGATTCAGTTTCCATTGCGCGAATGCTGAGCGCCAGCATGGACACTACAGATTGTTCAAGTGAAAGTAAACCACACTGTTGAGCACACGAAATGTAGACACTCATAGAGGGAGTCCGATTTCAAGCTTTTCAAATCATCCGCGAGATGCATGTTGTTGACTGTACCCAGTGAGAATTAGACAGCTATACAGTGTTTTTGTCGGCTTTCATCCAAGGTTGAACTGACTGCATATGGGCAAAGTTGCCTTGAACTGATCAGACACAGTTGCGGAAATACTGTTTAATTAAAGTGGAAGTAACGTCATACCGAAAGAATCAGCCGTTGCAAGTCGCATCGAATATGCTTAATTTTACGGAGCCTCCATTCCAGTCATTGGCATTATCCTCCATCTGTAAGGTTGCTACATAATAATCATACTGTCGTAATGTTTTTTTTTCATTCTGACTAGGTAAACGTGGTTTTCGTGTTGTCTTCTGAGGACATTTGTCCGCTAATTGGAAAGTGTGAACAGAAGTGGGAGGTAAGAACCAATGCTTCCTTGCTAAATGGGCAGAAACTCGAAAATTATGGTTAGATACTTTGGTCTATCCGAAGTACTCACTGTCAAAACTTTTAACCAGCATGATATTTACTATGCATAATGTTCCACTTTATTACATCAAGTGATTTATACGTATGCGGACAAGCACAAAACTTGTACGGACGATACTCTTATGCTATCGCACAGTACGTCAGTTGCTTCCGGAAAGAGTAACTTATTATGTACCCCGAATTTTGTTACCATTGTCTACGTCTAATAAGTGTACTCGTGATATGGATTTAAACAAAGATTTGGGAGCGCTTGGTCGAAAAGTAATCTGGCCGCATAATGCGCACATTAAATATACATTCGTCCAATATGTTCATGAGCTGCTCAAACAGCTCTGTAAAACTTAACATGAAGGAAATTCCATAGCTATGTAGATTTATTAACAGACAGCTTGAAATAGCAGGTATCCAATCAGGCTTATTTTTCACTTCCAGTGTTCTTTTGTTATCTAAAATAGTCTTTTAGAATAATATACAAAGGTGTGGAAATTATTTCGATGGGGCTAACCATGACTTTAGAACTGTACATATATGTCCATCCTTCGGGCTAGTTTCCTTGAGTTTATACTGCGTGAACAGCCTTTACCAAACTCCACACGCGGCTCCGCGTTAACCTCATCAGGCACCACCTGCTCTCCAAAGGACATGGCAGAAGAACCCAGAAACGAATGCCAGCCAACCATTTCAGACATCAGAAGGTAAGGTGTATCAACTATTCTTGGATGTATCAATTCAATTCAGTTCAATTTATCAGCTATAAAGCCTGTGCCATAGGCACAGTGGTTCTAGCTGCTACAGTTTCGACCACCGGAAAACATACAGCCAAGCTTTGGATGAAAGTAATGAATTCTGGCCTTTCCTTTCGGAATCAGGTTCCCCAGGTAACGCATACTGTTCCCCTCTTGTTGACACTGTCTAAAAAATCGGAGGTGATTCGCGACGCCTTAAGATAAAATTATTATTTCCCTTTCTTCACGATCACTGCACGGGGATCAGGTAAGACACTCATAACCCGTGCTGTTCTTGATCACCTGATGACTGTTCTTTTTGATAATTAAGTAGATGGCAAAATATCATTGCAAAGCAGAAGTTACTCGTTTCTAAAGCCGTGCGACTCGACTGCTCTTCTGGCTACTAGATAATTGGCTCTAGTAGCACTTTATATTCCTAGTTTACGTCTAAATTTTAGAAGGTAAATGACCTCGAAGATTGACTAATTATAAATCGCATCTCTGTTAGAACCTAGTCGAAATTCTTTGAATTTGGGTCGAACTTCCACACCTTAGAAGGAAAACAGAAAGGCCCTTGACCTATGATCGTTATCCTCCTTTTTAGGATGACCGTTTTGTAAAGCATGGAAGTATTCTGGTTGTTGCCAGCCCTACGGATTCTGGCGCTCCAAACTCCGAATTTTGCGTTCGGTATGAGGTACTTCTTGAGGCGAAAATTTTCCGTCCACAGCTACAGCTGTATCCGGATGAATTACTGGACTTTGGAACAATGTGTGTCGGTGATACTAGAAACAGAGAGATACGTATCATCAACCAAACTCAAATGAATGCTTGCTGGTTTCTTTCCCCCCAGAACGCTTCAGAATCTGGTACGTTTCAAAAATTTCATCGGTTTTACACGTGTCCAACTGTGAATTCTCCAGTTATATAAGAGGCATCAAAAGTTAGACTTGAGACCTATAGTGAGTTTGGACTAAATTAAAGTTGTATTCCCAAAAGGTTCACATTCAGAGTCTACTTGAATTGACTTGCGTTGCATTCGCTTCCGTTTGAACTTCCTGAACATTTGTAGTACAATCGGCAGACATCAGATAGACTCGTGCTTGTGACGATGCCTATCTTATCAACTCCTTTCATTGTGCTTTTCAGCTCAAACGGCACAAGGGTTCAACTGATTACCGGATTCTAAAGTCGCTTAGTTTACTGTGTCTCTGTCCCGACAATTCATTGTCATTTGTTGTCCAAGGCGTTCAATGGGACAGTATTCTTACTCGCGTGAATTTGTTTTTAGTCCTGATGAGAAAATATTGGTCCAAGATTGCAACAAGTTTGGCAGTCTTTGTAATGTACTACTCATAAGGTTGCTGAAAATCCGTCATGGCTTTTCCTTTGTAATGTACTACTCATAAGGTTGCTGAAAATCCGTCGATGGCTTTTCAGCAACCTTATGAGTAGCACATTACATAGATATACATGTATCGCGATATCTCGAATATCGTAGTAACTGAATCATAAGACGGCCTGGTGCAGCACATTCAGTTGCCTGAGAACATCACAAATGAGAGATTCAGCTGGTTCCAGGTGAATCTCTCGAAAAACCAAATTAGTTTGCAAATGAGTGTATATTCGCTAAGTTTGGTAGTCCTTTACACAAACAACACTGGATGCTTTATGGGGAAGAGTGCATCAGCACAGTACATCTATGCTGGTTAGTTATTTTCAAAATTTTCCATATCCCTTTCCTCTCTCTAACTGACTTGGCGCGGTGGCCCTTAGAAACTGTGAATGACAGAGCTGGACAGCGAGGGCGTTCAAAAAGTCTAGTCACAAAATCATACCTTTATATACCATACTTGAGTTCAAACGGATTTTGCTCAATTAGCGCTTGATATCATGTCACTCACCTTCGAAACTGTTTGGGATATTCTTACGATTGTCGGTTGTAACATGCAGATTTTACAAGCAAGCTTTCTTAATGTAGAGTCTTCTCTCAGTACTTAAACCCAACTAGCTGAACTTTGTGCACCTTGGTAACTGTGACGGGCAAATCCAACGTGTTCTAGGCTTCCATCTCCTGATTAGATGATATGAATGCGTCCCGAAGGCAGTAGAGATCATACCTGAAGTGAGTGTACTCACTGAACTTGTTCTTTAATAAAACTCATTCAAGCGGCATAGAGCGATTGGACACGATTATTAGTTAGCCGTCGAAGAATGCGTCCTCAAACGAGCTAGTGCACATGCTGAGTAGAAATTCAGCTGACCTTTCTTCGTCAGAACAGTAGTTGGCCAATTCCGAAACAACTGACTGAAGCTAGATTGAAAAGACCAAATGATGAATGTCTCTCACGAAAATATTACTGAGAACACAATTAGTCTATGCTAAACACATACACTACATCCAACATTTGTACGTTTTTCCGCCTTATTCCAAAAAGATTGGTCAGAAAGTTCATTACACTTAGACCCAAACACCTCAGCAACAGACCATCCGCATGCGACTTAGTTTTACATCGTCACACCAACCCAGTGCAGTCAGCAGTGAATTTCGCTCAAGATCAAGAACGGGCTAATCAGAATCCAGGTTACAGCGCAAAGGCTGCTCTTTGTAGACTATATAAACGCAGGCACGAAGAGAGGAACTACCCAACCAACAGCGCACTGAAGATGTCTCCTCGAATGGTGACGAAACGTTTGCAAATCAATTACCAAGCTCGGCGAACAGATCAACAGCCACCTGATTAATTACCAACCAATACACCCGAGCTACCAATATTCCAGAACATTACCCTGAACTTCTCTGTTGATAACTCTGTGTCTTTGGGAAAAAAGTTAGTGTCTGGTGCACTATGATTTCACGCTCATCGGAAACCGCTGACTTGGATTTGTTTCGTTGTGCTGAGCTGTGACCAGTGATTTAGGTCTCATTGGTCGTGTAACCGACACTCAACACTGTTCGGAAACAAAAGAGAACAAAACAGGAGCAGTTGCGGTGCTGAGGTTGGGTTCGAACTACGGACCTCCCTGTCCGTAGACTGGTACCTTAACCACTGAGCTATCTCGAGCCCCTGAAACATCTTGTGCTTTGTTTTCGGAAGCTGAAAATAGAGTTACCTACCTGGGTGAGAACGGGCTAGCTTTTGGCTTTTATGGTCTTGCAGAGAAACAATGGGGATGATGCGATGAGTGTTTATCGTCGCGGCTACAGTCAATGTTATTCGGTTTGTTCAAATGAATGAAACCAAATTCAACATTGTCCCAAACTGGTCGAGTACTGAATGGTTCAGCCGTGTTATAGACTTAGCAATGGTCCAGGGAATAGAATTCATCTTTGGGCAGTATTTTCTTTCACTTTCAGGGGATGATCCCGTGATTTTTGTTGCATGTGCAATCCTTCAGGAACGCGAGAATCTAGTTGAAAAAAAACCACATGTATGCTGGAAGACGCAAGACAGTATCAAGTCTGCAATGAGTTATTTTTGACTGCTTTAGTGTGGCTGTCGCCTATCCGTTATCGTAAACGTGTCCACATTCACCATCAGCTGACTATCCTGCCCTTCGAACGCAACAGATTTCGTGGTCGGAGTACGCGGTCTTCCGCGAAAACGGATTGGTTAGTCCTACCGGTGGAACTACGTAGGAGTGACAGCTACGCACAGGATATTCGCGCTATCATCCAATCAGACAAGAGATTATGTCCAACTTTCGGGGTCGATACAGCTATCATTCACTGTGCACGTTCGGACCAGACACTACCGTAAATTACTTGTGGTGGCTGCTAGCTGTGGACCTACCAACAGGGTTTTAAAGATATCCTATTTTTTCGGAGGAGTTTGAAAAATAATCAGCAGATTGGTTGTTGGGCTGAATTTCGCTTTCGACTCCTTAACGCCAGTCCACCATCAGAGTGAAATTACCTCCACAGTACGTATGAATGACTGGCATCCGCATCAAATTTCCGCCTCAGCAGTAGTCAGGACATTGCACGCCTTAACTCAGTAAGAAACCGCAGGTGGTTTGCGCGGAGCCGAGCGTGGCACCGATTTAAGCCTGGCGTGATAAGAGTGGCGGATGAACATGCAGAAGCTGCACATGCCCTTAGCCGGTCTACACATGAGAGTATCGCAATCGGCACTGGCATCAGTTACCTGTCTGTTATCCAGGTACCTAAGTCATGCGTTAATTACTCGAGGCTTCAGCCTTAAATAACATGTGAGTGTAATCGACAGCCGCCCATTTCACACGGTCAATGTGGTTATGAACAAACTGGCGGTATCCATTAACCCTGCAATTATTGCTGTTATTATCCTTAGGATGACAATGTCGAGTAGCAGTATTTGCTGGTGTCAGTTCATCGATGAAAGACGCTTTCCCCCGTTCGCTTTAGTGTGGGCAGGGCAATCGGTACCAGCACCGTAGTCTGAAATGATTTAGCTTCCCCACTATTTTATTGCATAAGTACGATCAGACCAAAAAGGGACACGAAAATCGATGCTGTCAGGAGGACATGGCAATCGAAGATCTAGAGTTCGATCCAACCCACGAACTCAAGGATCAGCCGATGTCATTTATAACACAAGACGTCGGAGCAAAGCTTCAGTTGACGCAAAACGGAATCGTAATGCGTCTTTGAGTGTGTAAGCACAGGTTCAACTTTTCCAGGGCCACATAATTCTTAGCGGACCCAAGGCTCACGGTGTATTTTTCTCTGAATCATCGACGCGCATATGAAATTGTACAATGCTGGTCGGTCTCTACAGGTTCTTCCCGTGGGTTTTCAGTTGGACTGTATTCTGTTTGTGAATTATAAGGGACTATACATTCTAACTAATCGATTTTCATCAATTATACATTGCCAAATTGAAAATCTGGTGCATCTTTGTGACTTTTGCACCACTGGTATAGATGAACAATGCTACAATATTGAAAACGGCGCTACCGTAGAGAGCATTTCGCGGGAGGCTGTACCCGGATCACGCAGCACAGAACTTTCACATAAAGCGGATACACACTACGGCGGTGCGTGTTTCTTTCCTTCGTCAACATCTGGTCTGCTTGGTCCAATTACGTGCGACAAAACGGAGCACGTTGCATCGGTCATCGTTGGATTTAGACCGAAGTAAGTATGAAGAGAAACAGCAACGTCAGGTTTTTCAATTAAGTAAAGATGTGTTAATCTCAGTAACCGAGTCAAGACGTGTGGCGTACTGGAATGCACGGCATTTAAGTTTCAACTGTCATTTTGGTAATTCATAGTAATTTGCAGGTACTTAAGACAATACCTAAAGGAATCAAGGCAAACTGCTTATTTACGTGGGTACTGAGTAAAGTTTACACACCAGAATAAGTATAAGAAACTCTGCATCCCTTCGATACGCAGTATCCGGTGGATGGTTCGTTTTCAATTAACTGTCACACCAGAATAAGTATAAGAAACTCTGCATCCCTTCGATACGCAGTATCCGGTGGATGGGTCAGTGTACAATTGACTGTTTGGATTAACAAACTCAGCCAAGTTTCCGGCAATTAGTATGAGATGCACGCGTTGCAGTTACATACTTCCGATATAGTCCCGTCAGACAAACACACCGATATCCCTTCCCAATGACTTCAGTTAATAAAGTCGCTCTACACACTGTAGAGGCAAGCAAGGCTCAGTATTACAGACATTTTGAGCCACTGACATAGGATCGGTTGGTGGCTTCAGTAATTGCAAGTACATTCTGTCGGACGGCCGTGAAATGACTTGATGGCACTCGATAGATCATGCTGAACTATTCAACCAGCTTAATCCAGTGACCAGTATCGATCCGGTAAGCAGAGTCGCACTAGTCACGTGATCCGCTTATCAGAACGTTTGCAACACAATACAGGTTAAACCGTCCTTATGGACAGACACCGTATCGTACGCCCCATATAATTTGCAGAACACCGGCAAACAAAAGCAGGGATAAAATAAGTTGATTTTTGGACGGACACCTTATGCTTCAAGCTATTGTCGGGCATTCGAAATTTGCCGAAGTGCGTCCTTTATTGCACAGAATTAAGTGTTCTGTTGAGAGTATTGGTCAGCCAACCAGTAAGCAATTTAGAGGCTTTATAACTTATATAGGGAAATTAGTCGTGTGTAGGCTTTTCTACTTGGCGGTTGCGTTGTATCACACAGTTGTTTGGTCGTCTTCCGCATCGCAGCACGAATTTCTCCCGGTAGCCATCCTCCATTATGGTCTTTTGAAACAGGGTGCAGTTCTCCATCCAACCTGTCTTTGGTACAGGTTCTACGGCCAGGTTACGTCCCGGTTATACTTCAAAGCGACAAAACTGTTGAATTTTGTATACCGGCTGGGCCTTCCCGTTTTAGGGCATGAGTTACATCCAGGAAAAAATAACTACCGTCGGTGTCCTCTTCAGTGGTAGGACACAATATCAAATGCGTATGAATAATGTAGAGCCTAGCTTTTGTATAATGAAAACTCCAAGGTATTTGGGGTGAACTAGCCCTTGGCTTAGTCGTGAACTTGTTGGCTGAAACTAGTCCAGATGGACGACGAATGTCACCTTCGTCTGCATGCATAAAAATAAGTTGTGAATGGTAATTTCATGTTGGACGTACAAAGTGAGAGTAGATAGTTAAACGGATAGAAGAATGAGTAGGATAAAGCCTGATGAGTTCATAAAAACTCGTAAATACTCAACTCTGATTAAATAAACACGTGTAACAATCCACGTGGCATCATGAGGGCACAGTTTCATGCCCACCACTAAGATACTCCAAACGTTGAGTTAAGACTTACTTTGAGAGAAAGAATCGACCACAAGACTGAACATTCAGTGTGAAAATGAACCAACAGTAAAGTGTTGCTGGGACTCATTTGTTCACGTCCGTACCATACCGAGATCGAGTTTATTGTAATCTATTGATTTATTTTATGGGATGCAACGGACGCCGTTTTTGTACGTTCATTCGTCTTGGTTATACCCATGCCTAATTTATCATTTTTAGTAATTCAACTGGAAATAATCATTCGTATGTCAGTATGCCGACAGCAAAATTTACTTTTCTAAAAGTTTACGCAAAAGACTGATAGTATTCCATATTCTTCTTAACTCTATAGTTGTAATACAGGGTATAAACTCATCGATGAATGACGGATACTAAAGTGACCATATATACTTCGGATACCCTTCAACACCATTTCTTGCAGTTGGGCTTCTTGAGGGTGGAACTTTTATACGCGATTATTCTGTCCGGTAATCACGACTGAATAGCTGCTTTGGTTCTTTGACAAGCCTTTCAACCATTTTTGTAGATTTTACAACGGCACATGCATCGATAAAATTGCTTTTGCACTCCCAGTGAGTAAAAGGATCAGCATAAATGAAACCCGAAAAAATTCCGCTGTTTTAGGAAATTAAATGGTCTCTGTTCGCTAGGTGCAAAATACTCAAAATTGTTTGATAATGTAACAATACTATGATATAGGTATAATATGATAATACAAGCATCATTCTGTCACTCTGACGAGCGCAATGAGACCTCGGGACTCGGACCCAAACTGTCCATCTAACAGAAATTCCAGGTGAGAATCGGGGAAAAATGCTTCAGGTTTGTCGGTAGAATGAAAAGTTGTTGCAAGTTAGCAAGTCTATCGAAGGCTGTAATCAGCAAGTAAAGAAACATGCGAGCAATTGTGCTTGATTCAACAGTACCCAGATGAAACAGGTGCCTCGACTGGATGATGCCCGTAAATCAACAGTGACTCTGTGTTTTCAGCCTCTTCCCTTTTCTCCATTGTCCATCGCCCATTTGGACGTGATTGTCCATGAATACGGTTGGGCAATGGAGAAAATAACCTAAACTATTTGTCCACGGATCGATGGTCCGACAAACAGGCACGTTGTCTTTCTGGAGGATAACTAAGTCGACATAAGAACTGGAAAAATTGGAAAAAATCTGACCACCGAAGACACTAAAACTATGTGTGATTTTGCTATGAGAAACTCAGGTGTTCGGCGTATCCAACGGAGTTTGGTGCTTCAGATCAGCAGTCGAAAAGATTATGAAGCATCCCCATGCCTGGTCGTCAAAAACTCAAATCAAAATTTCATAGAGATCAACGAATTTGCTGGGCTAGTGATAAATTTTTCTGGGAACGGCAGTAACACATCAGTATCATCTCGGACGATAAAGAACTTTTTATCGGCTTTTCGGACTTAAGGGTACAAGTGAGAAAGCAGCATAGTCAGGAGAATTAGGGATTTCCTGGTTTAATGTCATTTGCATACCACTTACCTAAGAAGGAAGTCATCACTTCATTCCTATTGTACTTCGTTGTGATTCGCGTTGCAGGATGGGGTCCGCGCGATCCTCCCTATGTGTAGCTGGAGATGCTACAAGTTATAACTTATGACAGCTTTGTCAATGGTGTTCTTCTTGTCAGTTTCTTTCCACATTGTATAGATGAGTGTCTGGAAATCTAGACACCTCGAAAGGATTGTAGTAGACTAGCACTAAACTCCTTTCCCATTCACTTGTATCCCAAGGCATTAAAATAAATTATGATCATCTGGCTTAGAAGCACCAGCGTCGAACACTGATGCTATGTGCTTGACGATTATGAGTACGATTGTATGTCAATGTCCCCATGAAGTTGCGCTCTTTTAGAATGGTCACTTCAGACGGAACATAGTAAATTGGATAAAACCACAGCCAGCATTCTAGCAAATGAGTTCAACATCATGGTACTCAAAATTCCCAGATTCGAACGTTAATGGGACAAACTAAGATCCATCAGTCTGGCTTGTCCATTTCAAAAATGAACCTGTCAGTACAAAGAACACCCTGGAGGTTGCTTCCATCCGTTTCGTAGTAATCTGACAGAATGGTGCAAATAGATTTTGCAGGGGAAATGAATAACACCTTCTTTCAGCTGAAAACAATTAAGTTAAAACACGGATGGATTTATCAGTGTTAGACGTTAATATCTTGGTCTAATTCGTCACTCTCCTGTCACGAAACTAGTTTGTTTGTGCGAGTTTACGTGGAACAAACGTTTGACGGACCTGCGCTACAGTGTATCTGGAGCAAAAAAACAACCGGTATTGAAATTTTAGGGTGGAATGTTCTAGCGTGACCCACAAAAATTTGCGTGTCTGTTCAACTTCCACTGTCATGGTTACAAATCTGGTTTGCCGGTGAACCAGTTTACACACCCATGCAATTCTTTGGAGGTCATAACCACTGTACAATGGGTTTTTTGTTCTGAATAGCACGTGCAAGTTAACTGCAGAGAAATTTTGGGATGAACTAACCGGTTCACACTATATTCAGGTTTTAGGAAACCTCATTTGCAACGGTTTCTCATGTGTACGTAGAGTTCATATGTTAATTTCAGATGGTAAAACACCTCACCTTCTGACTTTTTTTTCGAAAGATTTGCGTCCGATTAAAAACCTCGCCTCCCTTATCTTGCTATAGCCGTGCTGGAATCTTCGAAACAAACTACGTAATCCATGGGGCGTTTGGTGAGAAGAAACAAATCAAAGTACGTGGTCAAGCATCGTACGATGAACGGTATCGTTCAGCTTTTGACTAAAAAATGACCAAAAATAGGAAATACAGTGATTTTACACATCTTTTGAATATTGTTTACTCTGAAATACAACAAAGTGTGAATATGTATGTCTGTTCCTATGACCACCGTTTGGTTAAAATGCAAGCATAAGGGGTAACAGCGCCTCCAAAGGCCGAATGTAAGGGATTCGTGTAGGTCCAATCCCAACTGAGGACACATGAGGACACGCCAATCGTAAGGACATCACAAATGTTTAACATGCATTTCAACAACAACAACGGAGTTCGAATGAAATGACCGTGTTTCCTAGCCATCAATAATGTTGACAGAAAAACTGCCAACACCCGGAAAGTCATCACCTTAATTTTTATTCCAACTTCCAAAAGAATGTAGAATGTCAAGACTTCTCATATCGGTAAAGCGGCCTTATAAACTAATATGCACATCAGTGGCGTAGATCAGATACTGGTAGTCACACAGGAAAGAAGCTTCGATAAATTTGAAATCTTGTTCCCTCTGTTTCTTCTAGCCATGTCTAAAGTAGTCAGTCCATGAGCATTTTTCGCGATTCCCATTCGTGTATGCACATTGACTGTGTGTCAGATTACAATCAGTCAACAGCGTCAAAGCTCAGTGGTCGAATCGGAGCCCTTGTTTGTTCTTCCACAGTTCATATGCATAATAGCAAGTTTCACTTCCTTTTTTTTCGAATCTGCGTTTCCAGATCACAGACAAATGTGTAGAGCCAATAGTCCATTCTTATGGTGATACCGTCAGAATCTGTTAGTCTACCTACGTATGTCCGCGAAGGTGTCTTGTTTTTCAAGTGGGCGAACTAGAAAAGGCCTCAAGCCGACTCACAAATGATTAGTGCAGAACAAATTGGCAAACAATTTACTGATTGCTTACAGAACTTTTCAGAAACGTCGAATTATTTCTACTTCTTCATTAAGGTTACCCAAACCGACTGGTCCCGTAACTGCTTCTAACCTTTTTCTGGTACAATTAGGAGGTCTATCTTTCTGAAGAGGTTTGGATTGGGTTTATATTTTGTTTGGCAAACCAGTTAGATGAAGCAAACTTGATTGCTTCAAACAAAACTGCTTTCAACCGGCAGAAAAAGCTGAAGCTATTGCTAATCTCTTAGGTAAAGGCAGTTGGATGCATTTTATCTTGGCTAGCTGAACTCCCCAAGAGAAGCGACCGGAATAGTTGATAAACTGGAGGGCGTTGATAACTGTGTTAATTGTGCATTTAAAATTACAGGAAAGGGCGATAGATATCCTGGAAAATCTATTTTTTTTCATTTGCTTCCAACACAAATCACAGAATATCAAAGTATCCGGTAACAAGAAGTTATGTTAAATCAGCAGATTCGGTGGGAATTTCCAAGCAAACTGCACGTGTTATTGATCATCAGTGTTTTGAAACTGTCTTCGAGAACAGCATTGGGCCTGGTCAGGCAGAATTTCGTTGTTTTATCTAAGCCCTTATCTCCAATCGGAGCACAGAAAGGATGTCCTCCTCTTCGGATTAAGCCGTATTCACTTACTGAACACTAAACTAACATGGTAACTATACTAACATACAGTAACTAAATATACGACCTGCCGCGCTCTCCTCATGGACTGTGGACCATCTGGTCAAGGATACCCACTCTCTCTATTCCTGTTTAATAGCGTGACCGGCGAGCTAATGGCTCGAACGCTGTAGGGTCTCCAAAACCCCGGTCTTCAAATATCCTCCGGGAAAACCCTATCAATCTGGAATATGCAGATTATTTTGTTTTCGTCTTGCAAGAGGAGAAGACGCAGACCTTTTTGGATGAAGTGGCAGGAATCGTTTGGTATGCACTTTGCGCCCATAAAATGTAAGGTCATGCTCCTGGACAGGCCACATACAATCCAGAGAGACAGTCGAGATTATGGAAGTTGCATTAGTTCTTATTGAAGGGTAACAGATGGAGTAAATACACGAATCTGCAAGGCTCGGGTTACGTTTGCTAATGTGAGACAGGTATGGGGATATACCCCTGAATCTCAAGGGACATGTGTATCAGGCTGCAATATTGGCCGTTTGGTTGTATGGCTGTGAGACTTGACCTGTTTGAGCAGCTGAAGTGAGACGCCTTCAGGTATTCAACAATCGTTGTCTCAGAACCATAGCTCGGCGAATCCGTAAAGAGGTCGTTAGGAAGCGAATTTTTGGTTATGCAACGGGTAATGTCATTGAAGAGTGTGGCCAGCACCAGAAGCTGCGTTAGTTGGGCCATGTGTTCTGTAGGTTGAATTATCGTCTGCCGAGGACAGCGCTGGTTTCTGAGTCCAATTCAGAGGGGCGGAACCAGAGAGGTGGCCAACCTTTGGGTTGATAAAAGGAAATGGAAGAGATTACGAAAAATCTGGGTACTTTCTGTACCAAACGTCTTTCAGGATGGAGACGGCGTGTTCTCCGCTTCGCCTGGTTGGAAACGCTGCAAGATATGGCTACTATTCAATGTCAGTGGCGCCCTTGTTACCAGTTTCCGTCCAGATTTTTTAAATGAGTTTCTGGAGATGTAGACACCGTGGAATGATTGCGGTAGCTATCAATAAGTCCTTTCACCGTCAACTTTCCCTTTTCTTTTCCAAAATAAGGCTTCAAAACAAATCATAGTTATATGGCAGTCAAGCATTAGTGTTGAACACTATGTCAAGCTGTCGATGATGATTATGATGGTTTCGAATTCTCAGCTAACCGGGTGTGGCTACTCTCTTTGAATAATCCATCAAGTCAATCCAGTTATTCTGCCAAGTGGCAAAAAATGAATACACATGAAACCCAATGCTCATTTGTTTTCAGTTTCACATCCAGAGTCTGTTTTACCAAAAACGGGAACCACTGGTGACTGCTTTTAAAGTACTTATTACAATCGACCTATTCTAACCGAGTCTTTCAGTAGATACAAGCGGTGCTTCCGATAAGATCACATCAGGCAAGCACAGTTAATAGGGCTGGGGGATCACAAGTGAGATCTTGCTGATTGAAATTCGGAAGAAACCGGCACCTAACTGAGTACTTTAGTCTCTTCCAGAAACAAGTCTTTGTTTGACCAAGGGAGAGTCAATGCTTTCCCATGCCTCTTCTAAGGATAGAATAACGGGTAACGTGAACTGACGGCAGTCGCCTGTACTCTTTCAAATGTTTTTCACGATGACCTGTGAACAATTAAGGAACTCAGATAGATCAGAACGAAAGACTGAGTTGGATCTATTTGATGGCTTTTACCAGTGTGAAGCTATAGTTCATGGGTCTCAATTCTATATCGGTTCACCCAGTTCGAGTGCAAATAATCTTCAGTAATCCACTGAGGAGACACCACGAAGAAAAAGGTTTTTGGTTGTTCCCGGAGGGCCGGTCTGTCTATTAGGGAAGACCACGCCTGTGCACCGAACCAAGAATAATCACAGAACATTTGTGAAAGCTTGCATAAGGGATTGTTTTCAAACCATCCGTGGTCTGTGATCTACTATGCCTAATCGGTTGGTATTAGCTTGGAAAGTCAGACAACAAACACAAAAATACAAATGCAGACTGAAGCTGGAAACGTGTACAAGATGTGGGAAATGATTGATGTGGACTGGATACGGAAACTGATGAACTTCCGGTAAGTAATATCATTAGCGTGAAGTTTGAACAAACGTCTAATCGCCTGCATGCCATACAGTTATTTCATGCCGTTCAGCTTCGTTTGGAAAGTTAATTGCAGTTATAGTCGTCAAAGTTTTCTAGGGAAGATTTTTGCGAAAGCTGATGGACATGCAATGCACAAATAAAAAAGCCACAAGTCCAGCAGCACAATATTTCAGAAACTGCTATGAAATCAGATCGAGTTGGGGGGAATCAACTGAGATGATTGTATACATTGGAGTTTGACGGCAAGATGTCAGGAGAGTTTTTTTCTTCTAATCAATGATAGAAATCTGCAACGAATATTAACAGCGCTTCTCAGATGCGACTGAAAACGAGGTATCATTGAAGAAAAACGAACGTTTATGATACTCGCCTCAAAAGTTTATCACCCCATCCTTACGAGTTTCGAAGAAACGTACCACCAATTACGCTATGAGAAGTTTTCCGAGCAAATTTATCTCCTTTTTCAAAACACCCGCACAGACTATTACATCATCTGCGACTTTTTGTAAAAATAAGCAATAGCGTATCCTAAAGTGAATAAAAAAGCCCATAAAGTCCCCCATAACTAAGACTCGAGCTTTTATTTAAGCGGTTTCAAGTTCAACTTTTAGTGTTATATTTTGCAGCAGAAATCCATCTCACTACCAAACAGCATATCATCTTCAGTAGACCACAGGAGGATAGGAATCTCCAAACTGAGACTTCATGGTCTGAAGATGCAAAACGGTACCACGTGCATGAAAATTAGTGCCGCTGAGATACAACTGATGGTCAGTGCACTGTCATAATTTGCGTTTTTAGTTTGGAGTAAACATCCCACTAAGGCGTGATTCTGACGGAGTCAAGCGTCTTATTTGTGCACTGGAATCATCAGTTATGACTATGTTCGAGCTCTTCGTGGTGGACAGGAGGGTGGTGTGTTCTCAATAGAAGGTCTTTCTCAATAAATAACAGCCGCATTTCGGCTGTGTGACAAGTTCACAGCTTCATTATTTCGAACGGTGCGAGTTATCATGGAAGTGGGAAGTCGGATAACACAGTCGGCTGGTTGCAGATACCCGTCCCGTTGAAAAAGCCCCAGCCAGCAACACCGACGCAACCCGCAGAAGCATCGTCTAGACAGAGAGGGTACCGTAACCTCAGTGACCGAGTTTTACAGCTACACAAAAGTTCGAGCATCTAGAGCATGTGCAATCACATATTTTCGACTGATTTACTTAAGGGGTAACACATTAAGAATGATGTAACAAAAAAGTATGAAGGTGGGGTGTAAATAGTGGATGCGGAACGATAGATATGAGCAATGCCGTGCGATTTTCCAATTCCCTGGGTACTTGACGCATGTAGCCAAAATTGGAATCTACAGAAGACTGCATGTTGAAGGACGTTAGGAAAGTATAATGCGGGAATCAATTGGAGAATGTTCAGTAACTTATTTTCGATCATCCGCCATGCTATGTAAAGTGAATAAGACTACTCAGATGGCATTGTCAAGTGACGATCGGCGTGGAATTAGTTACTTTCATTTGTGAGGCTCATGGTCGTGTATGGGTTGACATGGGTCTAAAAGTCTGATAACAAGCTAATGGTAGTCAATGTGAGAATATCTGATCAGTCCGAAGTTTAAGGACCAAGCTGCCACACTTGTTCTAAGCCTCAACGCCAAAGGCTAGGAAATCGTGTCTCAGATATTTATCCATTGGTATGCCTGGTGAGAAAGACCGTGAATGATGAGGCATCATTTAGTACAGCTCAGCGTGGCATGCAAACCATCGCACAACGATAAAGTCTGGTGTATTCACATCTGACCGATTTACTTATCTGGGCAGCTGCATTAACGGTGACAGAGGTTGGTGCACACACTATCACGATGCGAACAACATTTCGAACTCGCGTTATTATTGGCGTCCAAAACCAATATCTCAGGAACTGAAGAATCATGTGTACAAGGCTGTGGACCTTGGTCTCTTCATATCGGACATAAGGCGCATTCAGGTTTTAGCAAATGGCAGTGATCTCAATGGATTGGTGCCCAAAGCGAGTACTCGGTGATGAATCAGAATCACTGGACCAGCCAGTGAAACTGGTTGAGCCATGTGCTACGTATCTACTGCGTCCCGAAATACGCATTTTTGAAGTGTTGTGAGAAAAGGCTCACGAAGTATAGACCTTGACTTGTCACGCTAAATTTCCGTATTAAATCCATATGATTGACAATCCTATAGGACACCGCACGTAACCACTGCCATCGGTGAGCATTTCGGCACTTCAATCATTTGGAAAAAGTTTGTAACCGATCGAGAAGTCATTGTCGCCCAAATAAAAAACTACCGATTGCCCAGCAAGCCCTTCTGAAACGATGTCGGCACTTCGTTGTCAGACTGCAAAGTTAAAGTCCGTGTGTCTTTGTATGCCGGCCTCATGTTGAGAGGGGTGCGCACAGGACGCTGGCTTCATTTCTCCTACTTCGACTATGCCCATACATGTGTATTTCGTTGTTAGTTTCAAGGTCTGTGCCGATTTTCGTGGGTACATGAGACTGACTGTAGAGAGTCTCCATCATTCCCCTTTCATTACACCCTTCACTGGGGCATTCCTACTAATGGTAATAAGGCAGTTATTAAGCCAGTTAATTTCTGCTGGCGTATTTGTGTAGTTCATAGGTAGCTTGTAAACTATACACGCAACATCTGGCACTTTGAAGCTTAAATCGTTCAAAGTTACCTTGCGGCCTTTGAGACATATGTTTTCCTATATTTTCGGTAAGCAATCGATATTTTGGCCTTGTTTCTGAGATAAAACCACTTCTCCGGGATCAAAATTATGGACTCTATGGCAGTAAGAGTGATTTTTTAGGACTAGATTTTATAGAAAGCCGACAGGGAATCCGCGTGGATTCTGTTGGAGTGGCATCTCTGTAGCAACTCCGCTGTGAATTGTTGTAGACCACATTTTCTGGATAATTTTGGAGTTTTGGAATTCTCCGCATTTAACCAGCGTGGATGCTTGTCGTACTCAAGATGGATTTGTAAGCGAATTTAGGTGAGGTTAGTTGCTCATCAGCTATGAAAATCCATCATCACCAAGGTGAGCAAAGTGAATAGCAGAAATTGTTCTGCATAGCTTATTCTAGACCATACCGGTTAGATCAAGCTAGGTTAGAAGTACCCATGACACAAAACCCTATGATTAACCCTGCACACCTAGATCTGAATCAAGATTCATAAACAAAGCGGAGCGCCTACGACACCGGAAATTTTGCGTACCGCAAGATGTGACGCTGATCTACACAGTTCACATATATGTAGGGAACTTTCGATCCTGTAACCTTTACTACAAACGAACTCTAGCAAAAAGCAAGCTATCCAATTTCATTTTTGTATGATGAGTGGACAGAACAAATGAGATCATGTCTACATGTCCTGTTTGATGTGGCAGCAAGCCCAAGGGACAAAATGAGCTTCCACTAAGTTCCCCAAACAAAGCGAGCAACCTCTTTCAGCGAACGCTAGCTGAATGGCTCTCGTGTTTGAATTAAGTAACGCTGAGATGACGCACCGTTTTTCCCTTCTAAATAATACAACACGACAAAAGCCAGTTTAGGGACGAATGGGATGTATTGAAAATGGATACTTTGAAAAGCTCAAACTAACCGAACACAGGATGTTTACACCATCATCCCAAATGTCATTAATTGGAAAATCAACTTGATACGATAAAGTACGTATTCATTATCAGAACGCGAACAACTAGCAGTGGGCGGATGTTAGCGAACAATATGTGGATGGAAATATGTGTGACTAGTGGATTGCACATCTGCTCGGCTAAGGGGACTTATGGATAGAATGCGCGATGTCAGTTCGGCATCATGGAGGTGAGAGATAATCTAGTATGCATGGTTTGCAACGAACAGTGACTTGTCTCCTGCAGCCGTGGCCATGTCTGCAGTGAACTGTCCCAAGGCTGCAGCGCCGTTTGCCTACAAGAGATGGAACAATTGGTCAGTCAGTGATAGACAATGAATAAAATAAACGGTGTACACAAGCAGGAATTCCCAAATTACCACCAGAGAGTAATGCTGCTATGACTTTGTGAGTCACAGAAATACCAGACGATACAATTTCACGGCTGCTTGTGGAATGCTATGCAATTGGTTATTGCACCGGACTGTCCCCATAGCTTCTTGAAAGAGGCGGTCAATCTGTTGGATAATTTAGCAGGAGTAATACAGGACCAGATTCACACTTTCATTTTGGAAATTTATCGTTTGGACTGCACCCCACAGCTCATGATTGGCGATTCGACTCAGCGTCGACTACTAATCTGAAAACATGAGGTTCACTGAATCTGTTACCTATTACGTGAAACTCACTTCATAGGTATCAGGAGAGACAAGTAGACGATAAATTGTCAGAGTTTCGTTGACAAAATAGACAGTTGATACAGCAACCATGACATCAATTCCTTCCGCCTTGGATCAAGGAGGACCCAGCAATTCTCCTCAAGCGAATTGCTGAATCTCTTTTACAATCAAATTTTAGCTACATCGGCCTAATAATTGTTCTGCTGTCTGGCCACCTTAAACAATCGTGAAACGAATCAACAGAAATGCAACAGACAGTTGATCGTTCACTATAAAGGGGAAACGCAAACGCAATCAACTGTGGGTCGCGTCTGCAGTGATCACAGGGAGAAACTTCAGTGGCCGCTTCAGGTTGCTATAAAGCGCGTGAACAGCAGCATGATACCTGAAATGACAGGTCTCTTTACACATGTCCTCAGAAGGTGGGTGGAATTTTCTATGAATCTAGCTTGGCCCGCGTAATGTACAGAAACGGGTACAGTAGCCAGTGAGTCTATCAAGTGGCCCCAACACCTAGGTGTTTACACAACTTGACTAACCGCTGCTGCCGTTCGCAAAATGTTTCGGAACTCAGCTTTAGCACCGGTACCCTTCGGAAATTATTACGATGAATGCAGAGTAGAAAACCGTTTACTCTATGAAGTTGCTTGTTCGGATGCAAAAAATTGCATCAGGTCTGAGCTAGTTGAAGACCGTAATATTGGACCACAAAGCATAGATTATACGTCATCCACTCAAAAAGACACAGAATCCATCTAACTCTAAATAAAAGTGCACCAAGGATTAGTATCCTGGTTTGACTAATCAGCCACAGTCGGGGTCTTAAACCTAGTAGCGTAAAATGAGGAGCTTCTGGTGTCAAGCAGTGCAAAATTTGCGGGATGGACATACACAGCTATCTATAATACGTGAACTCGTTAACACTATTTAGTATGTTTAGAATGTTTTTCCAGCAAAGTAGTGTGAACTTGACAAGAGGAAAAAAAGGAGAAGAATGTCCAGAAGCACCGCTTCAAAAACGTTTCACAAAATAGTCACACAACAATACTGACACATGACGGCGACAATGCATTTCAAAATGCTGCGTATTAGAGCGTAAGTTTTCACAGTACATACCTTCGCAAGCTTGAGGAACTCTCCTTGTGCGGCAGCCACATTCTCAGGCTTACCCTTCCAGACATCCAAAACCGATGCTTGTAGTGCACGACCGAAGCTGAAAGTAAGAGCCCATGGCTTCCGACCAGGAACTTTATTAATTTCGTTCAAGTTCTTTGTCGCATCGAGTTCTGACTGTCCACCAGACAAGAAAGTCACACCTAAAAGAAATCAGAAGTATGTTGAAGAATGTATGGTTCTTGATACAGTGGCGCAGTTGAAACCAACTAATATGTATTAACAATAACAACTAATGAAGATCCGTTTGCTTTGGGATGTGAACAGAGGGTACTGCCAAATTCTGAATGACTACCATTCATCATCATCACCATCATCACCCTCATCAACAGCATGACGTCAGCGTTCAACACCGATGATTCGCTGCCGTACAATTGGCATCCACAATGCTGTCTGCCGCAAAGTAAGATCGTTTACTGTAACGCAGTGATTCCTATTCTATCACACAGAAGTTAATGCTCTGAAAAGTCAGCATGGAACCTTAGACAAAGGCCTCGATGTGATTTCGATACTAAATGACTTGAGGTGAACCATGTTGAACGGTACAGTAAGGCCGCAGCCTACTCAACGCATAGTTCGATAAGCAAATAGAGCACTCATTACGAAACCACTTATTGAGAAGTATCTCGTTGCTGGGGTCATAATATAATAGGAGAACATGAATTTACCACGAAAAAGTTTTGAAATATCTTCATTACAAGCGGATGAACAACGGTAACATAAACTCAACTAAAAAATCCAAATAATTCGTTTGGAATTATAAGTATACGAGGTTTTAATTAGTTTTTCAGTCAGCTCTGCGTGGCGAACAAAATCAAGGAAATTAGACAGGCTTCATCCTGTAATCGGTTTCATGATTCTGTGGAGATCATGCTGTGCCTATTCATCTAACTAAATAACGTTCATGCAGAAGAGTTTTAGTTGAGCATGGAGGTGGATAGGATTCAACCAAAATAAAATGTAAATCCGTATGCATTAGACAAGGGACTCTGGAAGCGCTAAGCCTATGTGAACAAGCCGTCTAGTAAAGATCTCCAGTTACAGCTGGGTACTCACTCAGGCGGTTTCACAATATATCACCACAAAGAGTACTACCCTACGAGTATGACAATATAGTTCTCTGAATGATACACCTCCGTGAGCCGGGGACTCACCAGCAACCGCCGGTGGGACAGTGCGCTGTAAAGCCTCCACAGTTGCAACAGCATTTTGCTCAGGGGTGTAGCGTTTCGGACAGGCCTGTCCCGCAGTAACCATGTTAGGCTTAAGCAGCGTTCCCTCCAGGTAAACGTGATGGTCTGCCAAGGCTTTGTACACGAATGACAAAACTTCTTCTGTAACTCTCTGTGCAGTAGCCAAGTCATGGTCGCCATCAGGGAGTACTTCAGGCTCCACGATAGGCACAAGACCATTCTGTAAAACAGTCAACAGGATTCAGTATAATTACCACGTGAAATAAGTGGCCAAAAACTCAAATAAGTCGCATGACAAATAAGATTGTAAACGTCTTTGTCAGTAAATCACCGACTCTGTGGAACAGTTCGCACAACATTTAACTATCCAAGAGTAATCCTAGCATAAAAATGGAGTCAGTCCCATTAGCAATGCTAGAAACCCGTCAAAGCTTGGCAATCTTCATAATCTTCATTAGCATCGGAGCTGTCCTCTCCCCCCCCAGGTGGTCAGTAATTTCTTGTTTACGGTGGAAGTGTTGCTGACCATAAGCGCAAACATTCTCACCGCCAAAAGGTTGACGCGTGGTACAACTGCCCAACAGATGAAATAGTTGACATTTATCAAAAGTCCAGTGTGACTCTAAATGTCTCTGCTGGAAGTGGTTGCAGCATGTGTAAGACAGCTATGCCATTGAGCAGGGATAGCTCACATCCAGACAGTAAAGTCATTGATTCTGAAAGGGTTATCAAGAGCAGACCTTACCGTTCACCTCTTTATAGACCAGATATAAGTCAAGGTCCCGGGAAAAACCCACACTTTTTACCTGTCCTATTGTTTGGACTACTAAATCGAAGGCACAAAGTGTGCTATCTCAAGTAATCTCTTCTCCAAAATCAGAAACAGGAAAGTAACGTTTTCCCTCATTAGTGTTCACTCATCAGCCCTCCTCCATATTCCTTTCGCGCCCGTCTACTGAATATTGCTGTTCATTCTGCTGCCAGTCACTTAACTAATGTAAGTATATCTTACTGATACATTAACAAATACACCAACGACCGGAGACCAAGGTGGAGCGCACAAATATCCTGAGCATTGTATAATCAAAGATCAAAAGAGTGACAATGAGTAATAGTAGGTTGCGAAATCCAAAGAGATTGATTATTGTATGCAGGAAACAGTCACATTCTCTTTCAATAGACTCGATCAGCTGGTCAAGAAGAAGACTTACAAAAAATGAACCAGCATGTCACTCGCGTACAGTTGTCTTGAACGATGGGCTAAGCACTGAAATAACAATTCAACTGGCTTTTTGCAACACAAGTGCTGAGAACCAGAAGAACAAATGAATCACTGACATCAGTCCCCATTATCAAAATCATGCATTGTAAAAGTCGTCTCTTTAACGTAATAAATTGCTCAGCTTGGATGTTTTGCACCCTACACTTTCACAAAGGACAAACAACATCATAATTGACAGCAACATCAGATGAAACCACTGGTGATTCACTGTATTACGACCAAAAATGGAGGATGCTGCAGTCCTGTTAGGCAATTCAACTTTTCCACTACAAACCATATGGAAGGGAAATAGAATGCTGATAGAGTGGTGCTCTCTGAAAGTGATACCAATCTTCAAAGAAACAAGAACCTCGTGCAAAACCGTCGTGACATCAACTTGCCAACGCAACACAGGGGATGTCTTTGTTATTATATGGTGGGGCTAAGTCAACTCCCTGAAGACGCAAACTCCTAAGAACCAAGCCGGTTTTCGTCCTCGCCTAAGGTATGCTGACTTCAATATATAT